TGCTGCTGCTGCTGCTGCTGCTGCTGCTGCTGCTGCTGCTGCTGCTGCTGCTGCTGCTGCTGCTGCTGCTGCTGCTGCTGCTGCTGCTGCTGCTGTGCCTGTGCTTGCGCGAAGGCTTGCGCTTGCGCCTGGTCCGGATCCAGCGCCGGGCCGTCGAACATGGGACCAAGACCCAGTGCGGCGGCCCAGTCTTGCTGAGCTCCCGGTCCGCTGCGCGGGCCCGAGGTGGCCGCGCCAGCCAGAAGCTGGCGTAGCGCTTCGGTCAGAGCGTTCGGCGACGGGCTCGATGCAGCACCAAGCGAGCCTGCCGTGTTCGGTGCGGCGGCCGCCAGTGACGCTGACGCAGGCGACGAGACAGCCAGCGCGGCAGCTTGCGCCATCGGCAGGTTCTGGCAGCACGCCTCGCCCCATGCGCCCATCGGACAGGCCTGGCTGTCCAGAAGCTCCGGCGGCAGGAAGATCGTCGGATCGTGCTGCGTCGCCAGCTCGTGCATCTTGGTGTCTCCGAAGGGCGAGCCAGGCTGGCCTGTGAGTCCCGACGGCATCGCAGACATCGCAGGCGCTGCCATCGGAGGCTGCCGCGGAGGGCCCATCTGCTGGTCGGACGGTGCGCTGGGCGCGGGCGATGGCTGAGGAGCTCGGCTGTCGTAGCGTGCACGCTTGCGGATCACGTCGGCTCGCATCGCGACGGGCCGATGAGCGCTGTGCAGCTTGTAGTACAGCCCGCAGGCGTTGCAGATGATGCGGCCGTCCGGGTCCTTGCGCCACAGCGGCGTCGTCGAGGTGCCGCAGTTCGCGCACGACGCGCCGGCATGAATCCCGACCCACTCGTCCGAGTCTGCAGCCTCACCAGTCGTGCTGCCGCTTGCGGTGCCGCTCGTCGGGCCGCTTCTGGCGGCCGAGCTGGAGCCTTCGCCACCTCCTCCTGCGTTCGGGGTATTTGCCGCAGCAGCGGCGTTCGCTGCTTGCTTGGCAACGCGCTCGGCTCGCTTTTGCTTGAGCTCACGCGGTCGCGGGACTGTCACTCGTGTCAGCGTCGTGGTCATGACAGCACAGTCACAGCTCTCACCCTTGTGCAGCTTCAGGTATAGACCACAGGCATTGCACTGCAAAGCAAGGTTCGAGTCGCGTCGCCAAAGAGGTGTCGAGGTGGCGCCGCAGTTGGAGCACTCGGGCTTGGAGCGATCCTCCTTGACCGATCCCGCTGCTGGCGTCGACGGCTTGGAATCGTCGATCGTCGTACTGGTGCTGGCGCCAAAGGTCATGGGAGAGCCTGCGGCACTGCCGCTCGTCTTCGTGCGCGTGCGACTGGACTCGGCCGGCGACGAGCCGAACGCGAAAGGGCCACCGGTGCCGGCGAAGGACTGCGGCGTGCCAGGCATGCTGAGGGACGAGACCATCGAAGGCGCCATGTGCGGCTGGTGCTGCTGGGCCATGTGATGCTGTGGCGCCTGCTGCTCGAATGCGCTAGGCAGCAGCGGCCCGTCGAAGCTGTGTGCAGCATGCAGAGGCGGCCGTACGGCTTGTTGCTGCGGCGTCTCGGGCCCAAAGAATGAGGCGTGCGTCGCAGAGTGGTGCATGCCAAACGGATCCTGCATCGGTGCGGCGTTCTGCATCGGCTGCTCATACGAAGGAGTCAGGTCCATCGACGGGCGATGAGGTCCTTGAAAGTGTGTGAAAGGGCTTTGCGGATGCATCCGCTCTGCGTCGGGTGGTGGTGGCGGCGGTGGATGCTGCGCTTGCTGGCCTTGGGGCCCCGCGCTGACGCCCTGCTGAGCTTGGGCGAAGAGGTGCGCGAGTTGAGGAGGCACTTGGCCTGCCTGGAACGCCATGAGCGCTTGCGTCAGGAAGGCCAGCAGCGCCGACTGCAGAGCCGGCTGCTGCTGTTGCTGCTGCTGCTGCTGCGTCTGTGGAGCCGAGAAAGGCATCGCAAACGGCGGAGCGAACGTGAGCGGGCTGAGCCCATCCGGGCCCTGGCCAGCAGACGCGGCGTCTGCAAAGCGCTGCTGTGGCTGCATGTCCATCGACGTCGACGATGATGCTGCGTCTCGACTGCCTCCTTGCCGACGAGCAAAGGCAGCGTTGCGTGCGGCGCATTGACGCGCCAGCTCGGCACGCTTCATGTCGGCGAGAATGGCCAGGCTGGGCGCCTCGAGGTCCACGCCTTGTGCGGCCAACTCGCGCTCGGCAGCCTCGATTGACTCGATGCTCCATGCTGGCTCTGACACTGCGCCCGTCTCCTCAGCAATGTTGACGTACGACGGCGCCGGCACGGTGTGCCAGAGTCGCTGCTCCGGCGGCCGCGACGAAGCGCCGGCCAGGCGACGCAGAGGCTGTGAAGCAGTCTGAGCAAGGCACTTCACACCGGCTGCGACGTTTGCAACTCACCTGCGACGAGATCTCACTCGATGCTCTGCCCTTTCCCTTCAGGTCGTAGCTCGTCGGCGTGGCTGCGGCCGACGAGGACGGCGTGGCAGCACTGCTCGGCTGGCGCGATCGCGGCCGTGCCCGCGCGGCGCGGTGTCGTTCTGCTGCTCTCTTCTCCGCGCGCTCCTTCAGCTTCCGGCCCACCTCGGCGCTGAACTCTGGCAGCGTCAGGCTGTGCACAGGCCGAGCCTTGCTTCGCTCGAGCGCATCGACGGTCACACGCGCACATCTCGCGAACTCCTTGCGTCCGGGCCTCCGCGCGTCATCGTCCTCCGTTGGCTGCGGTTTGGTCAGCAGCTGGGCGAGAGCGCGCTTATTGCCGACTGAAGGCTCACCGGCACCATATTGGCACGCATGTGGTACATGCGCCATCCGAGGTTCGAGAGACGCTCGCCGTGCTCGAGCACGTCGCGCGACACCATGGCCGCGCGCCAGGTCTTGTTGAGCGACTCGGCATCGCCAGTGCAGGCATACGGGCCGAAGGGCTTGTTCTGCCAACGAACTGTCAGCACTGATGCAGCGTGCTCCACTCGCCTTTGAAGTCGTCGCCGCTCTGCAGCACGCCCACTCACGCCCTTGATCTTCAACAGCACCATGGCGCACAGCGCGCGGCGGCCGGCGCTATGCCGCCTCCGTCTGAGCCAGAGTCTCGCAAGGCGTGCGCTGCGGCAAGCCTGCGGCGTGTGCTGTGTGCAGACGACGGCGGCGGCGGCAGCGAGCGGTGCGTCGGGCGGAGTGTGTGCTGCGAGCGTGCGGCGCGCGGGTGTGGGAGAGTGGAAGAACGGAGGGCAGACGGGCGCGCTGCCGATCTGATAACGCGGCCCGCCTCGCGCGGGCGCAGGCGCACAGCCGGCCGCGGCGCGCCTCGCAGACGCGGCACCCGCCTGCCGCACAGACGGCCGCCTGCCAACCCCCTCTTGCGCGCGACCCTCGGCCCTGCGAGCTGGTGATGAAAAGCCCCAAATGACGCAGTTGGGCGCCCAAGGTGCTGGCAGAGAGAGTGTCCAGCACGAGCGCACGGCCAACGTGCAAAGGAGGTGGCACGACTTCTGCCCTCACTCAGGCACAAGGTGGCCTTGCTGCGGCAACGATGAGGCGGCCTCGCTCTTACACGAGCTAGCCGATGCGGGCGCTTCGTCGAGCAGCTCTTCGTGCTCACAGAGAGGCGCCGGAATGTGCGGCCGTCGTCGTCCGGCTGCAGTGCGTCCGAGTGTTCTAAAAGCACCGGGCGGCCGTCCTGCCGGCGGAACAGCGGAACGGCGTGCGAGCTGCGGCACCCGGCGCAGCAGAGCAGACAGGCTCGGGATGCCGTGAGCCGCTAAGTCGGGACGAGTGCAGCAAGGTGCAGCGGTGCAGCGGCAGCGACGAGGCGAGGTGAGCCGCACCGCTCTGCTGCCGCAGCCGCACTCTCCTTCTGGCCCGGACGCTTCGCGGCTTGGCGCAAGGCCGGTCACGGCGCAGCGAGGCCACCCACCTGCCACGGATCAACTCAGACTTGACTCTGGCAGGCAAGGCAGCGCTCTCACCATGCTGGTTCCGCGGTGCAACGCCGGCCGTCAAGCGGCCGCTTGGCCGCACCCGGCTCACGCAGCGCCGTCGCCGGACTTTTGCTCACGGCGCAGCGGCGGCCAAAACGTCAAGCGAGGCGCCCCGAAGGCGTGCGCCGCGCAGACGCTTGACAGCCCGTAGGCGAGGCGCTAGCGATCTGATAACTCCAGCTTATGTAAGCGCACGCCAAGCACGGCAAGCGGACGGCTCGGCCGGACGCCCGACGCTGCCCAGCGCAGATCATAGCTCCACAGGCGCTGTTCGCGGGTCGCATGCATCATGCAGGATGGGTGTGAATGGATGGGCTCCCTGCCTGGGTTGCCTTCCGGAGGCGGAGCGAGGAGGATGCATCGCGCGCAGAGGCATGGCATCGCGAGCGTGAGATGGGTCACGTGCCGCGCGTCCTCGCTTCGCAGCGGTGCGGCGAAGAGAAACGCGCCTCGCCCGCCGTGCTTCCTCCTTCCCGACACCAACCCACGCCGGGCGCCGCTCTGTGAGCTGAGCGACCGGCGTGCACCTCTCGACCTGTGAGTATCTCGCCGACTCTGCGCCTCTCGCAGCACACGTCGTGCAGCCGGGCGCCGCCTGCGAACGAGCACGGCCGCGGGCCGGCGCCGGGCGTCGAGCGCAACAGCAGCAGCAGCCAGCACAGCACAGCAGCGCGCGCAGCAGGATGACCAACATACCAAATAGTTCACGCCGAGCGTACTAGCGCACTGAGTGACAAACCTTCATCTTTCAAAATTAGTCTTTTGCTCCTATCTGACCTTTGCGCCGCGCTGCTGTGCTGTTGCTGCTGCTGCTGCTGCGCGCTCTCGCCGTGGACGCTCGGAGATGCGGGCTGCAGACAGGTCGCTGACACCCTCTTGCTCCTGCCTAGACCCGCCGGCTGGTCTGCTGGACCCTGTGACGGCGTGGAATGTCATCGTGCTTGCTTGTTCCTTCTGTGTCTGTTGTGTGAAGGTTTCGCAGGTTGTCCGGCTGCTGCGCGATTGCGCTTGCACCCGCAGCGATGCGGCCGTCAGGGCGTGAGCGGTGGCCGTCTGTGGCTCTTCTTGCTGTCGATTCATCTTGTCAGAAGGCTGAGAGCTGTAGCCATAACTGCATTGCCGCACCGGAGCGGGCCGTCGTTAACGCGAGATCGAGATGGCGCGCAGCCGGCGCACAGGCCAAGCTGCTGAAAGATGAGCGCGTCTCGCTCGGCTGCTGCGCGTGTGTATGCGGCCGCGTTGCTCTCTTCTCACCCTCACACCGCTCTGGCCGCCGCAGCCATGTCTCAACCACAGAGCAGCCAGGCCTCGTCGTCGTCGGCAGGGCCTGCCGGCCTCGGGCTCATGTCGTCCATGTCGCCCGAGTGCACGCCGCTCAAGCACCGCTATGACTCCTGCTTCCACTCCTGGCTCGTCGACTACCTTGCCCTGCCTGGCTCGGGCACCGCGTCCGCCGCAGCGCAGCCCCAGGAGTCGTCATCGTCGTCGATGTGGGGCCGCGGAAAGAAGGAGCAGGCGCCGGCAGCAGGGCAGGACGAGGCGGCGAAGCGCCAGAGCCTCAAGGAGCGGCTCGACGGCGAGTGCGGCGGCATGTGGGAGGAGTACCGGAAATGCGTCACGGTGAGTAGATCTCGGCAGGCAGCAGGGCGGTGCACGGCGGCTGTATGCCACACCTGAAGGCTCTCGTGCCTTTACTTGGCTGCCCGACTGCACATGACCGGCACAGCTCTGCCGATGGACAGGACAGAGGCGAAGACTGCGAGCGGTCCGGCCATCTCGACGATGCTCCTTCTTGCTCTTGCACGCGAGCTTGACTGTCTGTCACACGGTACCGTGACGCTGCGAGACGGCCGAGCGCAGACGGAAGCCCCGGCAGATGCACAGAAACGGAAGAGCTGACGCTCCTCCTCCAGCGGGCTGTCTCGGAGAAGCAACTCGATGGACTGATCGCCGAGGCACGCGCCCACAACCCCTTCCCCTTTCCGCATGAGCGCGCACCCGGCGAGGTGCCGAGCGAGCCGTTCCCATTCGCCTCGGCGCCCGGTGCTAAGGGTCCATGAGAGGAATGCACGGTGTGGAAGGAGCGATGCGAGCGTGCGCTGGCATGCAGCCTTGGTCTTATGCGCCTGCTTCGTGTGCCGAGCTACGAGGAGCTACATGCGCCTGGCTGCGCCCGCCGCCCCGACTGTGCCGGCTCCAGTGCGCGTCCACCTCATCGCACAGGCCTGGAGGGCGCGAACAGATGCTTGAGTGGCCATCGGTGGATGGAGAGAATGAATACAGCGTGAGGAAGGGGAGTGACTGAGCAAGGGAGAGGGACCGCGCGTATCGTGGCGCGGAACAGAAGCGAGGCCGAGAAGGCGGCGCAGTGGGATGCAGCACGGACGCCGTGAAGGGGGGCGCGCAGAGCTATGAGGCCGCATATATAGGGTGACGGAGTGGGACAGTGCTGCAGGGAGTGAGCGAGGGCGTGAGAGAGAAGGGTCGTGAGAGCGGGTGGAAGCAGTCGGTAGCGCCGAGTGAGAGGAGGCGAGGAGAGATATGGGGAAATGAGGAGTCCGGGATCAGGCGAAGAAGCCCTTGATCTTGCTCGACGTGAGCGCAGCCGGTCCGGTCTGTGCGCGAGGCTCGACCTGCAGCGAGCGCTGGTACATCTCCTCCTCGTCGAGGAGCGGCAGGTCGACGATGAGGCGCTCGACGCTGGTGTTGGCGCGCGCCATGCCGCGCTCGTGCTGCTGGCAGCGCACGATGGCCATGACGGCCTCGTCCATGAGGCTGAACTTGCGCCAGTGCACCATGTCGTCGCTCGCGCGCTTCGACGGGTTGCCGTCGGAGAGCGAGAGGATGTCCTGCAGATGCACGCCGCTGCGAGGGGTGTCAGTGCGGACCGCGAACTGGACTGGTGTGCGCAGACTCACAGGTAAGGGATGGTGCGGCCCTCGGAGTTCTCGAGCGCAAGACGGTAGGCGGCGAAGCTGCGATCGCTGCCCATCAGGCGCGCGAGCGAGAGGTACACCTTGTTGACGGCCTTGCCGTTGAGCAGCTCGCGCGTGTGCTTGAGGCGATGCACCGAGGCGTTGCCGAGGCCGGCGAGCACGGCGTGCAGCGTGTTGTAGTTGTTGCTGTGCCGCAGGATCGCAGCGATGCTCATGAACTTCTCCAGCATGCGTGCGCGGTGCTTGATCTTGCCCTGCACGAGGATCATCGTGCACACCCAGGCGGAGACGTAGTTGAAGTGCGCAATCGAGCGCGCGACCGGCCCGTTCTTCTCGCGCAGCTCGCGCGAGGCAAGGATGTGTCGCAGCAAGTCGCGTGGCCGGATGGCGCAGAAGAGGTTCCACTCGATGCGCGTCAGCTCGGCTGCGATCACCTCCTCGTCGGTGTCCGCCAGTGCATTCGAGATGCCGCGCAGTGCCGTCTTGCGCGCGTTCGTCAGGCCCTCTGGCGTGGCAGCCACGGCGGAGTTGACGTTGGCCGGCGGCGGCGCCAGGGCCGTGTCGGACGCCGACTGTTGAGCAGGGTAGCCGCCGGACACGCCAGACGAGGCCGCGTGCGGAGCGCTGCTGATGCTGGCAGCCGCAGACTTGACGCCACTGTCGCTCGATGTCTGCGCGTCCGAGTAGCTGTAGTCGCGGTGCTCCAAGGAGGGTCGCGAGAGCTGAGCCGAATCGATCGCCGAGCCACTGGCTGCCGAGCTGTCGGAGTATGCCCGCGAGCGCAGCACCTCCTGCGAGCTGTTGTCCATGCTGTACGAGCCGGACTGGGAGCTGGCGACCAGGGTGCTGCTCGAGGGCGCCAGCGTCTGGCCGTCGGCGCCAAGCAGAGAGGGGCGCACGGGCGGCACATCGGCCGCGACGGAGCGCGGCTTGTCGTTGTCCTGGTTCTTGCTCCATGCGGCATCAGGGTCGGGCGCGAAGCGAAGTGCTTCGAGGTGCGGCTGCAGAGGGCTGGCGATGTGCATGGTAGACGGGTGCTGCAGCAGGCGCTGGAAGAAGTCGCACAGCTCGCTGTACGTGTCCGGCGCCGACAGGTCGCCAGGGTAGTCTTGCATCCAGTCGCCAAGCATGGCAGTCAATCTGAGACGGGTAGTGGTCAGCACAAGCGCTGCATGGCAACATCACAGGAGAACTTACCTCATCAGCGAGAAGCGAATCATTACGCCGTCCGAGCGCTCGCTGCTCGACAGAGCATCGAAGCGCGCAACAAGCTGGCGCAGCAGCTCGATAGGCCGTGCGAAGCCGCGGTAGAAGACCATGAACATGAGCAGGAAGCGCTCGTCGTCGCCCGACACGGCTGCAAAGAAGAGCTTCTCCCACAGCTCCTCGATGGAGACGTAGCCGCCGGCAGTCTTTGCGCTCTGCAGGCCGAGCTGAGCCTTCGAGATGCTCTGCTGCAGCGCTGCCTCGTCTTCCGAGTTGCTGCCGGTGAGCGAAGGAGCATCGACCGACATCGTCGTGGCATCGCTGAGCTTGCGCGCGGTGTTGCGCACGTCGTGTCCGCTCGACTGTGCAGCGCCCTGCGTCGCACGCGAGAAGCCTGGGTTCTCGTTGCTCGAAGAGTAGCCGGCGGAGCTGAGAGCCGGGCTGTTCTGCTGACTCGCCGAGGACGTCCGGCTCGAGTCAAGAGAGGCGGTCGTGGCATCGCTCATCTTTCGCGAGCTCGAGCCAGGGCCCGTGGTCGATGCCGAGCCGTGCAGCTGCTGCAGCTGGTGGGCAGCGGGATCGAAGGCAGCCTTGCGTCCGGCTCGCGCCTTGGCCACCTCCTTGACGAGGTAGGAAAAGCAGTCGCGCATGCGCTTCTTGCCCTCCTCGCTCTGGTCGCTGCACTCGGCCAGGCCGACATTGTACACTGCAGCCATGTCCGAGGCGTAGTAGGGGTCGACGGCCTTTGGGAAGCTCTCCGACTTGCACGCCAGCATCACGGTGCTGAGGCTGTGCATCGCGAAGTTCTCGAGAAGCTCAGACATGCCGCGGAACGAGGAGATCTGCGCCGCGTCGTAGCAGAGGATGATGGCGTCGATGTGCGGCAGGAACTTCGGCCATGCGAAGCGCTTGCTGGGACCGTTGAGCAGCACCGATGCATCGATCTCCAGCACCTCAATCGTGCGTTGCTCCTGGTCGACGATGCAGATCGTCGAGTGCGACGCAATCTTCTCCGACAGGACGTTCGGCTTCGACAGGCCAAACTGCCGCAGGCCCTTCTTGATGACGGTCGTCTTGCCCGCGCCTTGGTGGCCCACCACGGCAATGACGAAGCTGGCGTGCGACTTTGGCGGGTGCTGCACCTGCTGCAGCAGACTGGCGGTGCTGCCGCTGCGGCTGCGCGCGCCCGCACTGGCCGAGCCGGCCGGCGTAGCAGCGCCGCCAGGTGCACTGCTGGTGCCTGTTCCGCCTGCCGCGCTCAGAGCTGCGCCTGCGGAGCTGGCTGGCGTACTGCTGCTTGACGCGCTGCGCTCCGTCGAGTCTGCGGTGTGCGCGGACGGACCACCCACAGCCAACGCAACACTGCGCCGGAGCTGCTGGTTCTGCCGCGCATTCAGCTCGCCGTCGCCGCCGCTGAGGCCTGTGCGCGACTTGTCCGGCGCCGAGCCGCTCAAAGATGGCGCCGTCGTTGCGAGCGAGGTGCGCGTGGCCGCACTCGGCGCCTCACTCTGCCCAGAATTGTCGACCGGCGATGATCCAGCAGGCGTAGACGAGCTGTCTCCCGCTTGGACGCCCAGCAGAGCTGAAGGATCGTCGCTGCCGTCGTGATCCTCTTCGCTGCGTGCGACGCCCTCGAGGCCAGGCACAACCATCTCGTTGCAGAGCATCGAGCGCGGGCGAGCGCGGGCCTGCACGCTGAAGCGACCTGCTGAAGACGGGGACGATGCTGCAGGGACAGCGCCGACTGTGGCGCCACGCGGACGCCCGCGGATCGTGCCATTCGGCCCGAGCGACGATGGCTCGAGCTTCGGCGGCGTCTGCGGCGGCGCGTCTTCCTCCTTCGTCGGCGGCAGAGGCGCACCACTGCCAGACGAGCTGGACGAGCGGCGGCTGATGGCCGGGCGCGTCGAGGGTGGCTGCAGGCTTGAACTTCCGTCGCGGGAGCGATAGCTCGGCGTCTGACTCGTACTGCGGCCAGCGTGGCCGGCATCGCGCCCATCCTGCGCGTCCATGTCGAGCGCAGCCTGGCTCAAGCTCTGGCTGCGCGTCCTGCCACGGTCTGCAGCGCCACTGCTGCGCGAGTCTGGCAGGTCCTTGGGCGGCGGCGGTGGCGGCATCGAAGGTGTGGGACGAGGCGGCGGCAGCGCGCTGTAGCGGGCGACGCGATGGTACCCGTCGCTCGGCTTGACGAACATGCGTGAGGCAGTCGGGCTCGTCAGGCTGGGCATGAAGGAGGCGTTGGGCGAGGTCGGTGACGGCAGTGGCGAGTCGAGCGTGGGCACGCTGCTGATGGACGAGTCGGGCGACTGGTACATGCCGGGTCCCCATTCTGCCGACTGCGTCCGTGCCGTCGAGGGAGTGCGTGCGGGCGAGGAGGAGTCGCGGGCTCCTGCCGGCGAGTAGTCGCGATATCGCTGGCCATCCAGTGCGTCCTGGCGCAGCGTTGCTGAGGAAGCCATCTCGGAGGGACGAGGCGACACGCGGAGCCAATTTGTCAGGCCTCCGTCTTCGGACATGCGCCGGCTGCCAAGGGCATCCTGCTCGTCCAGGCCGTCGTCGGGCGCATCGTCGAGTGACAGCATGGAGACGAGGCGCTCGGGAGAGCTGCTCCCGCTCTCCGGGCTCAGGGCGGCGTCGTAGAAGGAGTCGGAGCTGCTGATGGCCCCGGGTGTCACCGCCCTGACCTCTGGCGCGTTCGTGCCACTATGTGTGGCCGTCGATGGAGAGAGTCTGCGAGCGCGTCGCAGCCGGCCGGGCAGCGGCGACCCCGCATCTGCGTCCTTCGAGCTGCTCGGCCAGGCCTGATCGTCGCTGCTATCAGAGCCCTCCTCGCTGTCGTCGCGGGTGGGATCTTCCTCCGCCCCATGCTGCCGCTGTGCATCCGTGCTTTGCCGCTTGATCTGCCGTTTGCGCACCTGCTCGCGGAGCAAACGGCGCCTCCGCCTTGCTCGGGCAGCATCACGGATCGCAGCATCTGCTGGGCTGCCCAGCTCCTCCTGCGACGCCTCTGCATCGCCTTCGCCTTCGCCCGAAGAGGATGGCTCGCCTGTCGGGGGCGCGTCCGCAGTCTCGTCGCTGTCCCTGCGAGGCGCGTCGGGCACTTCGCTGATCTGCGAGCTCGAGGTGACATCGCTGTGTCCGGTCGCTGCGCGCGCGTCCGCGACCGAGCTCGGGCCAGTGTGTGCATCGATAATGCCCGTCTGACTGCCGCGTCCTGACACACCAGAATGAGACTCGGCCGAGACGGCGGAGCCAGTGCTGGCGCCTTTGCGGTGCAGCGTGGCGCCTTGCCGCGATGCACCGGCCTCAACGTCGGCCTGCGCACGCCGAGGCGTCGCTTCAGACTCGACCGCCGGCGCGCCGCTCGCATTCGGCAGCGCGCCACGCGAGGTGGCACTCGAGCGGGAGCTGGAGCGAGACACTGCCGCGCTCAGCTCGAGCGGCACATCGGCGAGCTGCATCGGAGATCCTGAAGGCGCCGAGGCACCCAAAGACAGAGCCTCAGCGAAGCGCCGATCCTCCTCGGCTACCTCCTGGTCCAAGCCGAAGACCGGCGAGCCATGCAGCTGCGCGCTTGCATCGCTGGCTTTTGGCGGAGAGGCGGAGGTCGAGGGGGTGTGGCGCAAGCCAGGTGCACGGACCGAGTTGGTCGAGCGCAGGCGCGGCACGGGCGGAGGCGCCTCGATGGACGAGGACGACGGAGCGGACGAGTCTGCGCTCGGCCCGCTGAGCTTGCGCGTGCGATTCTGCCAGAACGCCAGCGCTGGCGGGCGCCGCTTCTCGGGCGTCGCTGCTGTGCTAGACGCAGACGCAGCGGCCGTCGCATCGGGCGCCGCAGCGCCCGCGGCTGAATGCGCAGACGGCATCGGCACGCCGAATCTCGCGCAGGCTCACAGCGGAGCTGTGGCACGGCTCGCGGCAGGGAACGCGGATCTCGATAAGGCTGGCTGTAGGAGCCCGTGTCAGCGAGCTGCTGTCGCGTGCCGTGCGCAGCTGGCCTGGCCTGCTCTCCGAAGTGGTGATGTGAACACTCACCTATGATGGCAGGCCGCTGAGCTCAGGAACGATGACAGGAGCGCAGGACTGCGCCTGCGGTGCGCCAGCTGAGTGCGCGGAGCTGCTCTGGGCAGCAGCGAGGAGTGCGCGACAGGAGCGCCGCGATGAGGGTATCAAGATCCGCTCCGGTCCGAGAGAGGCGTCGAGCAGGCAGCGCACGCGGGCCGACGAGAGACAGGTGCCGCCTGACTCGCAGCTGCGCGAGAAGCCGGGCGTGAGGGAGCGGTGCGGCCGAGCGGCGCGCGTGGCAGGTCGTGCAGGGCGTGCGACGTGCACGAAGAGTGGAGTGAGTGAGTATGGTGGAAGCCGGCAAAGATGGTGGTGCGCGGCAGAGGCGGTGGAGCGGAAGGGCGATGCTGCTGCTCGTCGTCGCCGTCGACTCGAGCATCACGCGGCCGCCGCGTGCGCACAGGCGCAGCAACAGCAGGCAGCGCGTCGGTCAGCAGCAGCTCCGCCGTCGCCGGCTGCGTGTCGCGCCGCCGCGCGCGGCCCCTCAGCCGGCGGCGACGCGCGCGCGCGGGCCTCTCGTCGCCTGCCGCGCCAGCGTCCAGCACAGCCCGCCTTGGCTGCGCGCCTCCTCTCGCCTGACTTTGACTCGCTGCTCGCGTGCGCTGCCCGCCGCACCGGCACCCCAAAGTGCACTCTGCGCTGTGCCTTGCTGCTTCGGCACCCCTGTTGCTCCCGCACTGGCCGGCGGCCGGTGTGCTGCTGCTGCGATGCTCCCGGCGCTGCGTGCGTGCCGCTCTGGGAGCTGAAAGGCGGCTCTGAGCGGCTGCCCCTCGCGCGGCGCGCGGCCCGTCGTTGCTTTCCTGCCAGCCTGCCGCGCGGCACGGCCTCTGCCATGCCCTGCCATGGTCCCTCCTTGCCGCCTCTCTGTTGCTCTCGCCGATCCCTCTCGCGGCGTCTCGTTCGCAGCATGCAGCGCTGCACTTGCCGCTGCTGCTCGCTGCACCCTGATGGCGGCGGCGGCGGCGAGGCCCGGCGCCCGGCACGCGCTGCGGAAGCTCATCCAGCCGCCTCTTCCCACTCCGAGCCGCCGGCCACGCGCAGCGCGCTCAAGGAGGTGTTGCTCGCGCGGAGTTGGCGCTTGAGACGTCTTACGGCGGGAGTCGCACGCGCGGGGCCCGCTGCTGTGCTGTGCGAGGCGGCGCTCTCGCACGGCAGCGCCGCCTCTCGTCCGAGCAGAGCCCTTCTCTGCACCTTGCCAGGGCCCGCGCCGGGCAAACGGGAGCGGACGGAGCATCAAGTGCAGCGTGGGGAACCCTAGCGACGACGCACCGAACGCAGCACCGTCCGACGCACCTGCAGCGCGCCCGGCGCTTTTGCCGACGCCCCCACGCTCGGGGCTCAGGCCGCAGGGTGCCGCAGCTGCGGCACGGTGCGCACACGCGAGCCACGTCTGCTGCCTTTGCCGTCGACGCAGGCCGCGCGAAAGCGTCGAGTGATGGCGGCGAGACGAGGCACGTCCGAACCGGAGCTTGCTCTCCCGAGCTGCGCGCCGGAGCCCGGAACAGGCCGGGAGTGGCTCAGCCAGGCACGACAGGCAGCGGCTGCGCCCCTGGGGCTGGCCTGGGAGCTTCTGGCCGCTGACGGCGGGTGCCAGAGAAGGAGGCGAGCGACGGTGAGCTCACAGCAGCGGCTCACCGCAGCAGTCTTAGTGAGCGAAGATCAGGCCATCCGCTCGCTGCCGCACACGGCATGCGATCTCTGACCCTTCGCTGGGCCTCGCTCGAAGCAACGTCTGCTGAGGCCGGATCTGGCGTGGACGCGGAGGCCGCCGCGTCCGGTGTCGCGCGTGCCGCCGCGCGCTGCTGCGTGCGGTCCGCGCCGCTGTCAGGGACCCCCTCCGTCGCGGGACAAGCAGGCGAGTGCGTGGGAGAGACGCTAGGGCAGCGGCCGCAGCAGCAAGGGCTGCGCAAGTCGAGCGAGCCTCAGCAATCGACGAATGCGAAGGCTCAAGGGCAGCGACGGTCGCACGTCTGGACGATCCTGGGCCCTGAGCGCCGCTCGGCGTTCCGACCGTTGTGCCTGCAGTCGTCTGGGCACCTGCTCCTGATGACGCGCCGCCGATGCTTCTCTCGGTCGTACGATGGAGAGCGGCGGATCACGCAGGGGCAGGGTCAACGTGACCGCTGCTGCTGAGATCGCTCGACGACGCCGTCTTTCCTCATTGATTCTCGTGGCTCCGACTGGCATGTCGTCGACCTCCAGGCATGCTCGAACAATAAGAATCGACCGCCCGTCCGTGATCGCCGGCTCGAACGGCAGGCCCATCGGCCGACGAGCGAGCCAGACAGCGTCCTGTCCTCCTCCAACAGCCTCGGATGCATTCCAGTCGGCGCTTGTCGCCCTGCTGTCCCACCTTGCAGACGTCCATCGCCGGTCGGCGTCAAAATCTGACCTGTCCGCTGTGCGGCCGCAATTCCCAGCATCTCAGCTTCCGATACATCTTGCAGCGTGAGGACATCCGGCGTAAATGCCGAAGGACAGACATGAGAGCACGAGCAGCCTCAGAGCGGGGCCTGTTGGTGTAGGTCCAGCTGCCGGCGCCGCCTCCGTCGCGGAGGTGGCGCTGCGGCGCCGGCGTTCGCGCCGAGACATGATCATCGGGGGGCCTGGGCGTGCACGTGTGGTGGAGATGCACACTGCATGCCGATAGACGGACGGACAGACGACCTCAGAGGTCAAGAGTCCGCCTCGCAGCGGTCCATGTCAAGGCGGAGCCGGCTCGCGCGCTTGCTGTGCTGCGGCGTGCGTGCGCACATGCATTGGTTTGGCGGCCCGCTCTGCGCGCGAAGGCGGAGCGCAGCATGAGGCAGCACCGAAGCCACGAGGAGTCCTCAGCGCCCAGCAGAGCGTGGCGGCAGCGCCACAATTTTCTCGGCGCGCGACGCAAGTGAGTCTGCGGCAACAGCGCGCGACGAACGCACGCTTCTCTGCGCTCTCCTTTGTCTCAGCGCCATCGGGCACCGCTGCAGTGGTGCGCGTCGGGCGGTTCGGAGCCGCGAGGCCTCTGCGCAGCGGTTGGGGTGGCGGCGCAGCATCAGGTGGAGGATCCGCCGGCGTGACGCTCGCAGGTGCCCGCGCCACCGCCGAAACGAGCCCCGTCGACGCCTCCAGCCCGCGCTGCATCACAACAACCCACGTCATCCTCGCTTGCAGGCGTGCAGCGCTGTGCTGTCCAAGGTGCAGGCCGCCATTGCGCGATGCATGCACGCGCCGTGTTCTTGGGTGCTTCCGACGGAAGCAGCGCTCGGCGCAGGACACGTCGCGGCCGCTCCTGACGTTGCCTTGGTCGGCTGGCGCGCATCCGACTTGGCCCGCGATACACGAGCCTCTCGTTCCGTCGGGAGCCCATTGGCGACGCCGTCGCAAGGCCCAATCGACAGAGTAGCTATTCACCCATATGGCGCGCATCGGGCGTCGATGACATGGCGCAAACGTCATCGCAGCGCTCGCCAAGCGGGCGACGGCCGTGCAGCATTCCGCGCGCGCACGCTTGGCGTCGTTGTCGTCGTCGTCGAGCGCAGCCGGGCGAGTGCTCATGAAACACTGCCGACCCGGACGAGAGAGCGTGTGCGCCGCATTCACGGAGTTGGTCCTCCTGCCCTGAGGTGTCTGCAGCTGCATTCTGCTGCTGCGCTCTGGTGGGCCGCTCAGCGCACTCACCGGCGGCACACGGCTCGCACGAACGGCATTCCGGCTCCCGAAACGCAGCACGAGGATCGCACGCCGCACCACGTTCGCCTGTGCTTGGCACAGAAGCAGCGGCGCCTTGAGATGGAGCGCATTGTGATTGCGGTGCAAGCAGGGTCGCAGCGGAATTCACCAGGCCGCCGCTCGCGGAGCCGAGAAACGACCGAGCGGTCGGGGGTCCAAGCTCGCAGCTCCAGCATGCAGAGGTCTAGGCGCTCTCGCCTGGCCGTGGCGTAACGTGTGCTTGAGCGGCGCCGAGATGAACGCGGCACGCGGAGCGGGCGCAGGCTTCGGGCAGCTGGTGTGGCAGCGGGAGGAACGCTGCGCAGGCGACAGCAGGCCACGGCCGGGCAGCCGGCGCTCCAAAGACGGGTTCCCGGAGCGGCTGCCTGCTGCGTCTGGCTGGGTGCTTGTGCACCGCTGTCGGCGCTCTCCTCGGCACAGAGGCGCACCACAGGCGCGCTGGCCGCCTGCGCGAAGGTTTCATGCCTGGGGCCCACGCGCCTGCACCGAGGCAGAACGGCCGCAGATGCAGGCAGCAGCGGTACCGCAGATGCAGATGCAGCACGCAGCACGGGGGGGCCAACGCATGAGCCCAGCCTGCACGCTCGCCGAGGGCCCGCATCATGCGATGTGCACGCAGCACACGGCCTTGCATCACCAGAGCGCGAAGGGTGCAGGCGGGCGGCCAGCGCAGCGCAGCGCTCGGCAGCCGGCTCGGGTGCGTTCGACGAGTGGTCTGCGGGCGCTGCCTTGAGAAAGGGCCAGCTCGTCGGGCAAGTGCAGCGGCGTCGTGGCTCGATGTCGCCCGTGGTGCGACTGCGCGAGGACGCCGCAGTGCCATGCCGTCGGCGCCCGCAAGGTGGCACACGGCGGACCATGCATCGGCTGGCAGCATCGCCCATCTAGCGAGCCGTCGTCGGTGGGCGCGGACGACGATCGCATCGGCAGGTGAGACGCCTGGGCCACGCGGCAGATCGGCGGCAGCAAGTGCGAGCCAGCGTGCGGTGCCGAGGCAGCGCAGGCTGCCAGATTCGGGGTGCCGTGCCCCTGCTGCCGGCCGGCACACGCATGAGACCACGTCTGGTGCGCGCCGCGCGCGCGGGCGAGTGAGAGGGAGGAGGCGCCGCGGTGGCTGAGCTCGAGGAGAAGGGATCGTCGGAGCCGCACGACGCAGCGGCAGCCGGGAATCTTGCCCGAGATTGCTGCCGAGGCAGGACTGCCGCGCTGCCCGCAAGCCTCCGCTGCCGCTGCGTCTGCTGCTTGGCCGCTGCGTTCATGCGCAGAACGCAATCTCGCCAGAGGCCAGGGCCGCTATACGTATGCAGGGCGCTGCGCCCGCGGCCGTGCGGCTGCGCTGCCGCTGCCCACCCGGGTTTCTCGCATCCCACCCTCGGCGGCCGAGCGGCTGGCGCGCAGGAGCGGAGCAATGCACCTCGTGCGCTAGAAGCGCATGCAGGCAGCGAGATGGCCGGACACGCTGCGCGTTGCCCCGCACCCTCTGGCGCACTCAACTCCCGCCTCCCGAGTCGCCTGCGCCGCGTGAGTCGAGCGTCTCGAGGACCGGCACGGATGCTGGACGCGGTATCTGATCCCCTTCGGCGGGCATCGGCACTCCAGCGGCTGGCAGCTGCGATGAGACGCTGCAGGATGGATGCCGGACCGTGCACGGCGGCGCTGCGGGATCGGCGGCGATGGAGGTGTGGCCCGCGAGGAGGCGCGCGTGGCGCTCGTGCCAACCCAGCACCTGATAGGGCGGCTCCGCCTTGCTCCAGCAAGCATCAGAGGGCAGGACAAGGCGTTCGTCGGACACCACCACGCTGGCAGACGCATCGAAGCATGCCGCTGTCGTGGGCTCCGGGCATGCTCCAGCTGCACTTCCACCGGCAGATCTTCGAGCGGGGCGTCGCACTTCCGCATGAGAGGGGGGCTAGCGAGATGCGAGGCCAGCGCAGGATCAACCGGCGAGGGGCGAGTCCGCTGCCCACCCCCAGCGCTGGAGGAGAGGGGCGCTTGCGGCCTCCGGGCGGGCACGCTACGCTGCGACAAGAGCACCTCAGATTGCGACGCCGGCGCCAGCGCGGCATCCTAGGCGGCACGCCATCGGGCCACACAGGCAGCTCGGGCGTGGCTGGTGTGGTGCTTAGCGGATCTGGACGCCCCTCCTGCCTCGGCGGAGTGGGCCTGGCGCATCAGCATGGATGCTGTCCGCGCAGCGGCAGCGCAGGTCGTGAGCGTGTGGGCACGGCGGCAGCAAAGGCAGAGAGAGGGAGCGGCAGCGTCATGCTGGAATCATCAATGACCCCCTGCCGCCGACAAGCGATGGACGGGCGGCACTGGCACTGTGGTACAGCCTTGTGCTCCTCCGTCGTCTGATGCACGCGGCTTGGCGGCGCAGCAAACAAGGCCAGAGCGCAGCGCAGATCTCGCGGCTGGCAGCGGGCCTCGTTTGCTAAAACGGGCGCTGCGTGGCCGCTGCGAGGACGAGGTGCGGCGGCGCAACCCGCCTGCGGGCTGCATGCGCTGCCCGAGGGACGGGAGCCGCCGAGCATGCCGCTATGCGGACGCGGCTCGGCCTGACGCCGCCGCTGCGCCAGCACAGCGCCTCGCCAGCGAGAGCCGCTGCATCCGCCGCCGCGCCGTCTTCGCGGCCCCGAGCGAGCGGAGCTGGGTGGAAGCGCCGCACGCCGCACCCTCTTCGTGCTCCGCCGCCCGCCGCCGAGCAGCGGAAGCCTCGCGTTGCCCGCAGCGCGGCACCGACGCCGCCACGGGACGGCATCGGCGGAAGCGGCAGCGGCAGCCAAGGCCCTCCGGACGCCGCCACGCACGCACGGGCAGGCAGCGAGCATGCAGCGTGCAGCCATGCCGCGAGCAACGCAAGGGCAGCAGCCCCGCCGACGCCGCAGCAGCGGCATTGGCGGGCTGCAGATGCTGCACCTGCAGCCCAAGCGCAAGCGAAGCTCGGCTGCGCTGGCGTCGAGGAGCAGAGCAAGGCGCAGCTGCCGCGCCGACGGAGCGAGCGCACGACATCGACGGCGAGCCCACGCGGCGGCGCGGGCGGGCGCCATGCGGATGCTGCCTTGCCGGCTCGGCTGCGGCGCTGCACCTCAGACGTGGCGCAGGCCGGACGAGCAAGCGCCAGCGCGGGCGTGACGCTACGGCGGGCATCCTTTTCCCCGCGAGGCGCCGTGCCGCGATGCCCAGCGCCGCCCAGACAGACGCAGCACGCAGACGCAGGGCATTATTCTCCTACACGCTCAGCCCGGCGGCGAGCAGCAGCACGCAGGAGCCGTCAGTGCAGCCGGCCGTGCATGCAGGTGCAGCTGCAGGTGCGGCAGCGCGCAGACCGACGGCGAGAGGAGGCAGCGCAGGCTGGCGCTGCGCCTGCAGATGCTGCCGCCGACGGCGCTCCGCCGCCATCCCCTAGCCGCAGCGTCGGATGCTGCATCTGGGCAGCAAGCAGGCAGGCCAAGCAGCGTCGCGGGCGGCGCGGGCATTCCGATCGCAGCGCCGAGCAGATGCGAGAGAGCAGCAGAGGCGGCAGAGATGCGGCGAGCTCGCCGAGCCGCTGGCCTCGCTCGTCGCTGCGCCTTGCTGCTGCGGGCGCTGTGCGTGTGCTCCGTGCTTCTTCTGCATCTGCGGCGCTCGGGGTGTGTGTGTGTGTCTGTCAGTGCGGCTGCCGTATCACCTCCGCCGCGAGACAGCGAGGGCGCCGCCGAGCCCCTCCGCCGGCGCACGCCCGCCTCTCCCCCTCGCACTCAACTCGACTTCACCCGGCCAGCCTCCGCTGCGGGCGTTTGTTTGCCGTGTGCCCTCGCTCGCTCTTGCCCCCCCCACCACGCCGGCCTCCTCTGCACCCCCGCGAGCTGCTGCCGCCGCACACGCTCGCTCCGCCTTGCTCCCGTCCGCACCTGCCCAGCCGATTGCACCACACGCCCAGCCCGGCACCGAGCGACATCGCCGGGCGCTGCTGTCTCTGCTGCGGCGCTGCCTCGCTGCTCCTCCTCGTGGCTATCCCGTGTCCGTCCTGCTGCCCGATGGCGCAGAGCGGCCGTGCCAGCAGCATCAGCGTAGAAGCGAGCCCATCTTGATCCGGCACTCTCCCACCCGCGCCTCGCGGCACCCGCGGCGCCTGTCCCCCTCTCGCATCTATACTTACCACCACCGGCACTCCTGCTCGTCCCCCTCGCACCTTCCCTCCGTCGTCGCTGCTCCTCGTCACCCTCCGCTCCGCTCCCGTCGCCCTGCATCCGTTCTCACCCGCACGCTACACCTCCTCTCTGGCGCAGCGCCAGGCACCACGCGCGCTTCTCTCTGCGCGCGCACTCTCTCCTCGGGCGCGCCCGACATAGACGTGAGCGGCGCCATCTATCTCGACGTCGGCCAGCTGAGACGCAGTGCTGACCCCATTTTCCTCCTCTGCCGGCGTCATCGGCCAGCAGCGCAGAGCTTGTTGCCGCGCTGCTGCTGCTGCATCCACCTCTGTGCCCCGGGTATCTCGCTCGCTCGCTCTCCGCGCGCGTGTGTCTCGCCCCAGCCAGCCGCCTGTGCCGCGCCGCGCGTCGGGCGTAGCTCTGCCGAGGCGCGCCGAGCCCTGGCCGGCCGGCCTCGCTGCTGCACACGCGCGCGTCTTCTCGCCCTCGCCTTCTTGCCAACCACGACGACCGCAAGCGCACCTCGCGGGCCCGGATCCTCCGCGCCTCGCTTCGCCTCAACGCGCGGCCGTCGGTGCAAGAGCCGCCGCTGAGCGTGTGTCCGTCTGCGATGGACGGCGAGCCTCGCACCTCGCCGCGCCCGGCACCCGCAGGAGCTGCGGCGCCGCCGGCCGACGCCGACGCTCACGCTCGCAGCAAGCCCGACGCCGGCGCCGACGCGACGTCCAGCAAGCACGCCGACCGGCCGCACGACTCGCACAACTCGGCGCCGCCGTCGCCGCCCGACGCTCGCTCGGCCTCGGCGCTGCAGAGCCGCAGGCCCGAGCCGGACGCGGGTCTCCGGCTTCCGCCGCTGCGCTCCATCGACATTGGCGCAGTGGCCTCGTCGTCGTCGTCTTCGCACCGCACAGCTCTCGCTGGACCCGGTCAACTGCCGCCCTTCTCGCCTCGTCCGCAAGGCCCACACGGCTCGGCACCGCCGCCTCTGCCTTCGCCGAGCCTCAGCACTCATAGCCGCTCCGAGCTCCGCAGTCCGCCGCGCCTCGGCACGGCAGGCTCTACACGGCAAGGTCCTTCGTCGTCGTACTTTGCGACCGGCCCGTCTCCGGCGGCATCTCATCGTTCGGCAGCCGGACCTTCAGCCTCGACCGTCTCGCGCTGGACCGAGGAGCGCAAGCGCCCAAACCTGGGCCACGCACCCAGCGACGCCGAGGTCTACCGGCAACAGCAGCCACAGGGACAGGCTGTGCGCAGCCGCACACCCTCTTCCTTCTCCGACCCGGCGCGGAGCTCACCACCCATGCGCCCTCGCGGCGTCGAAGAGTCAAAGACGTGGCCGCCGGGCACGCCGGCCGACGCGGCTCGCTCATCGCTCGACGACTCTCGCGCCTTGCCGACGGCACGATCCGCGCAAGTCGACGCAGCACGGTCCGCTCCGTCTGCACACCAGCTCGAGAGCACCCTAGAGCGTCTCGAACAGGTGAGCACAGCAGCGCAGGTGGTCTGCTTCACGCTTGCTGACGCATCCGCAGGTGTACACGCTCGCCGGCGACCTGCAAAGCTTCGCCAGCGCACACCTCAAGAGCCGGCAGATGCCGAGCTTCGCCAGTCTCGATGCCATGGCGATGCGAGGCTCAGACGTCGCTGCCATCATGGGTCGCCTGGCCGGCGAGGCCAACGAAGCACAGGTCCGCGCCGAGGCACCATCTCACCGCTATGGTGCGTTGCGCCGACGGCGACGCGCGGTGCTGTGTGCTCATCCATCCTCTCCTTGCCTCTGCAGCTGGACCGCCGTCCGAACGCGGCGAGCCACTGCCTGCCTCGTCGGCTCACCGCGGCGCACCGAGCGCCTGTGAAGCATCCTCGCGCTATCACGCTGGCGAGCACGACGAGCTGGCAAGCAGCGGCACGCATGGCTACAAGGACATGTACCGCGACCAGCATCGCCGCGATGAAGCGGGCGTCGACGGCAGACGGCCACGCAGCGGCGACGACCATCGCGCCGCCGCCATGCGCAGCCCTCGCCCTGGTGAGTACACTATCGCGGTTGAGCTCTGCATGCGCCATGCTCACACGCTCCGACAGTCTCTCACCATGCTTCAGCCATGGGCGGCATGGGCGAAGAGCGCAGCGACGCCTTCGCGCCTGTCGGCGTGCGTCGCCGTGCGGACGAGAGCGGCAGCTACTTCCCCATCCGTCCGGAGCCTCCTGCGCACGCACAGTGGTCCGCAGACGAGCGTGACCATGCGTACGCGCATCCTGCCTCTCGTCCGATGCCGGCGCACTACTCCTCGCACGCGCCGATGTCGGCGCAGCAGCGCGACTACCACCATCACCAGCAGATGCAGGAGCAGCAGCACCAGCAGCAGATGGCCACGAGCAAGTACCGCAAGCGCAGCCGTGCGCCTGCGCCCGGCCAGTGCGCCTGCTGCAGCATTGCGGAGACGCCGGAGTGGCGCCGGGGTCCTGATGGAGCGCGCACCGTGTGCAACGCATGTGAGTCTTTGCTTGTGGGATAACAGCGCCATGTCAGTGGTGCCGCGGTGCTCATGCAGCACCCTCAGGCGGTCTGCACTTCGCGAAGCTCGCAAAGAAGCGGCAGCAGGAGAACCCGAACGGGCCTGGCGTCTCCATCGAGGAGCTGCGCGCCTCCATCCGCGTCACGTCGCCCGGCACCACGCCTGCGCACATCCGCGACGGCAGCCAGAACAGCCAGGGCGCCGACTACGGCCGAGCACGCCGCGCATCCATGGAGGGTCCTGCGTCGACGCCGGCATCTGCGTATGCGCACACGCATGCGCACGCTCGCGCTCCATCGGGCCCTGAGGGCCACGCCGGCTCGCAGCGCGAGCCCATGGACGGCCGCTGGCCCGAGGATGAGCACCGCATGCGCGCCAGCGAGTTCCGTGGTCTTCACATGGAACAGCGGCACGAACCGCATCCGCCATACGGCGGCAGCGCTGCGCACCAGCCGATGCACCACTCGCACTCGCACCACGACTCGCGCTCGCATGCGCCGTCGTCGGCCTCGCGCCTGCCGCCGCCGCCCATCCGCTCGCACGCAGACTCGGATGCGTATGCGCAGCGTTCCAACGAGCGCCGTCTCTCGCCGCGTCCCGGCAGCCAGGGCGCCGAGCGTCGCCCTTGATGGGCACCTGGCATCCTTGCTGCCGGCGTGTCGGACTCCGCCTTCACGCCGCAAGGCTATCCTCGCCTCATCCTTTTCGCCCTCAGCGACTCTCGAGCCTCCGATGGCGCATCGCATCGTCTCCAAAAGCAAACCCGGCAGTGACTCCAAGCATCTACAAGTAGAGGCATCTCGCACGTCTCGGTAATCTCTCCCTCTCTACCAACTAATCTCGCCGGCCGCAACGGCGATCCGCTTCCGCTCTCCCACCGAACCCTCGATGCTCCTCGCACGCAAAGGGGCGTGCGCGCCATACGCGCAAGCGCCCTCGTGCCTCAACGGACACCGCTGAGCCCGGCAGGGGCATCTGCCTCGGGCGCAATACGTCCCAAATCAAATGTGTTTCTGCTCCGGAGGTCAGCGTGTGACGGCGGCCGAGCTGCGTGCACGGAGCTGCCATTGTGCCGGCGTTGCAGACGCTGACGAGGCAGAGGGTGCTGGCGGACGAGGCTGTGATGTGACGTGAACTGGCTCGCCCCCTCCACCTGCCAGCGCACTGCGGTCCGTCGCGAGCAAAGCCCACCATTACCATCCACTTGAGCTCGTCGTTGATGCTGAGGCGGCCTTGCACTTGAGAGTCGCCAGCTCCCGCGATGATGGAGGTTGCGAAGAGGCACGAAGGACCAAGAAGGCGGCCGTGCGAGGCCGGCCCGTCTCGGGCCGGACAAGCTTGGCCCGCTTGTATTGCGGGCTTTAATTCAAGCCGCAGCTGAATTCATCAATCACGCGCCGGCCAGCGAGATCTGCCGCTCGGCTCCACTCGCCGCCTGACTCCGCAGCGCACGGCGCAGCAGCCGCCGCCTTGCTTCCCCACACCTCGCTGCGCCACGCCCACAGCAGCCGCTCCTGCTCTCTCACTCCCACACACCTTAGCTCGGCTACACAAGAGCTCCTCGAACGTCATAACGCCTGCGCTTCCGCCGCTCGCCGCGCCTCCGCCATGTCGTTCCTCTCCGGCGCCGACTGCGGCCCGTCCAACGGCCTCTCGTCGCTGCTCAAGCATTCGCAGGCAGACCGCTCGCTGCAGGGCGACCGCACCGAAGCTGGGCCAGGTCCCGGCGCTGCGTCCTTCCGCCAGCGCCCTGCCGGTGCCGGCGGCCCAGCAGATGCGCAGGCCTGGTTCGCGCAGCAGCAACAGCATGGCGGCCCGCAGCAGTTCAGCGGGCCGCCGCCGAGCTCCTTTGAGTTCGAGAAGATGCGCGCAGAGATGGAGCGCATGCAGATGAACAACGGTGGTGGCGGAGGCTCTGGAGGATCTGGCGGCTGGGCGCAGGAGATGAACCGGCGTGGTGCGCCGCAGCAGCACATGAACATGGGCCCGCAGTCTGGCAACCAAGGTGAGCAGAGTCTGCCCCATGCACTGCGCTTTGCGCTGATACTCGCTTCCAGGCTCAGCGTGGAGCTCTCAGTTCGCGTCCGCAGGCCACGCCTCAGCTCCCCAGCAAGAGGCACCAGGTGCCTCTGCGACCCGCTCAGGCGGCTACGGCGGCTTCGGCATGCTCGGCGGCGGCATGGGTGGCATGGGCATGATCGGCGGCGGCATGGGCAGCATGTTTGCCAATCGTGCTGCGCAGCAGCAGCAGCCGCAGCAGAGCAGCTCGCGCTTCACCGAGCTCTCGGACAAGCAGTGGGAGGACGAGTTCGCGCGCCTCGATGCCGAGGCCACTGCGGACAAAGGAAAGGGCAAGGCTGCGGAGCCGGAGCAGGGCCAGGCCGAGGACGAGGACCGGCGAGTGCGGGAAGCGCTGGACCGCCTCGAGAGCGACATCCAGGAGGACGGCTACGAGGGCGACCGCCGCTTCGAGGAGCTCTGGAACGCCATGCACGCTGGTGGCGCTGTGCCGCCGTCGGGTGCTGATGCCGACGTGGCCCGCTTCGAGGAGGAGCTGCAGCGGCAGCGCGAGCGCAACGCCGAGGAGGACGACGAGGCCTTCGAGTTCTACAACCATCCCTCTGGCGGACTCGGTGGCGGCATCCAGGGCCTGAATGAGACTGGACGCCTTGACGGCACCGAGGACGCGCTGCTCGACGGCTTCGGCACTGTGGGCGTCGATGGCTTCCCGCGCCTGGGCGGCTACCGCTTCGCGCAGGACAACCCGTTCATGACGCACGAGGCGCCGCTCGCCGAAGGCCTGCGTCTTCTTGCCAACGGCGGCTCGCTTGCCGACGCTGCGCTGCTCTTTGAGGCCGCGACGCAGCGCGACGCCGCGGGCGGCACTGGCGGCGAGCAGGGCGAGGTCAGCCGTGCGCTGCGCGAGCGCTCAGAGGCTTGGCGCCGCCTCGGCGAGGCGATGGCCATGAATGAGCGCGAGACGCAGGCGATCCGCGCGCTCGAGGAGGCGATCAAGCTGGACGAGAACAACCTTGAGGCGTACATGGTGAGTGCATCTGTCTCGTTGTCCCTGCCTGCGTGTCGCTCATTCCCTCGTCGCAGTCGCTGGCCATCTCGTACATCAACGAAGGCTACGACGCCGCTGCGCATTCGACGTTGGAGCGGTACATGTCGCGCGCCTACCCGCACCTCAAGCCCGACCCGCTGCCGGAGTCCATCTCGGGCACCAAGGACCCGCTGCAGGGGACCGACGGCAACCCGTGGGCCTCGCTGAACCGCGCCACGTCGCTCTTCCTGGCGGCTGCGCGCGAGGGTGCCGCGAAGGGCACGATCGACCCGGAGGTGCAGGTCGGGCTCGGCGTGCTCTTCTACAGCAACAGCAGCTACGAGCAGGCGCGCGACTGCTTCAACACGGCGCTGCAGGCGCGCCCGAACGACTTTCTGCTGTGGAACCGCCTTGGTGCCACGCTAGCGAACAGCGGCAAGCCCGAGGACGCCATCGAGGCGTACCACAAGGCGCTCGAGCTGCGGCCAACGTTCACGCGCGCCATCTACAACCTCTCGGTCGCCTGTGAGTCTCGCTTGTCTGCTGCACCTCGGGCGACGATTGCTGACCCGTTCGCGGCGCAGGCCTCAACCTCGGCGCACACCACGAGGCTGCCGAGCACCTGCTTGCTGCTCTTTCGCTGCAGCAGTCGCACGAGGCGCCCAACGTGCCAGACGGCGCCTCGGCACCGCGCCCGCCGCCGCTGGCCGAGGCGCAGGAGTCGCACAACCTCTGGAGCACGCTGCGTCGCATCTGTGAGTCTCCTCGATGTGGCGACTTGCCTCGCGTGCGAAGCTGACCCTCGCTTGCCAGTCCTTGTGATGGACCGCATGGATCTCGCGCAGCAGGCACACGTCGGCTCCGACCTCGGCCAATTTCGAGCTGAGGGATTCGAGTTTTGAGCTGCGCGCCAAGCATAGCGTCGAGAACGCACCAGCGCCGCCATCCACCGCCACTGAGCAGGACGTGGACTGGGATGCCGACGGCGCACCGCAGGGCATGGGCGGCTGCTGGGGCCGCTGGAACCAGGCGTCATTCAGCGCGGACGCACCTATCTAATGAACGCATGTGCATCGCCAACAGCCTGTCGCCTCTCCAGTCACACCACACGCTCGATGTGTACCAAAGCTGATGATTGGGTTTTATCCCCGGCGTGCACGCTGCAGCGCCGAGGTGAGAAGTGTACATGGATCGCATGACGTGGGTGGGGAGATGATGAGGGAAGCCACTCGTACGGAGGAGAGAGGGAAGGAACCAAGAGCAGCACGGCGCCAGCCGACGACGCGCGGCGCTTAGCGGTAGCGGCGGAGCTGCAGCGTGTCGCGCTTGCGGATCGTCGCGTTCTTGCCGCCGTGTGCGGTGTGGTTGAAGCGGTGGCCCTTGCCGAGGTGGCCGCGGCTCTTCTTGCCCGTGGCGGTGAGGCCGCGCGCCTCGCGGCGCTTGTGCACCGGGTCGCAGATCCAGTTGATGCGCGCGTCGCGGCGGATGGCCTTGTGGCTCGGGTCGACGCAGATGACCTCGAAGTACTTGAAGATGCCGTCGGCGTTGACCCAGTAGGAGTTGAGCACGCGCAGGTTGCCGCACTTGCGGCCGACACGCTCCTCGGCCGTCGACTTCAGGCTGCGCTGGTACTTGAGGTGGTTGACACCGTGGTGCACCGGCTTGCCGAAGGTGGCGCCCTTGGACACCGGCTTCTTGCGGTTACCGCGGCGCACACGGATGCGGTAGATCAGGTAGCCCTGCTTGGCCTTGTACCCGAGGCGGCGAGCCTTGTCCGGGCGCGACGGGCGCGAGACGCGGTGCATCACGGCCAGCTGGCGGAACTCCCAGCACCTGGACGCGGTTGGCATCAGCATGCTGCTCGTCGAAGATATAACGCAGCGCTCGACGACGACGACGACGACGACGACGCCGCATCTGCAATGCTTTCGCTGATCTGTCCCTGTGATATCCTCCATCTCGCCGACTCTTCTCTTCACTGCCTTTTGCCTCTCCCATCCCATCCTTCTCTGCCAAGTCTGAGCACTCACCGAACGCGGAGCAGGAACCGCATAAGGTCCGACTGCTTCTTCGTGTGGATCGCCTCCACGTACTTGTACGCACCCATCTTGTCTGCGAGAGGGAAGAGACGGTAAGCTCCTGCGCACGAGAGGTTGTGGCAGCCGCGAAGGAAGACGCCTTGCCGTGCCGCCGGCTGGACTCATGAATGGGCAGCAGGGACATGCCCTGCGCCTGCAACTCGCCAGCCCAGCAGCGATCGTCTGCCGGCGCGGCGCAGCAGGTGCGGCGCCGATGCTACGGCCTCGTGCACGAGCGGTGTCCGCTGAGAGAGCTGCCCTCCTTCTTCCATCTGGCTCCGCCGCCCTTCGCGCCTTCCCTCCAGCGGCATTCAGCAGCAAGCTGTGCGCCAGCTTCGAGGCCAGAGCGGCGTACTGCTGCTGATATCGCCTCTCCCACTGCTGGCGCGCGCAATGGCAGCTCTACGATGGAGCGTCGCCAGCCAGCATCCAGCGTTCTTCCTGCGCCGCGCATCTTCCAGCGCCGAGCAAAGCGCGGTCTCGAAGCACGAGCGACGCATACGAACCTTGAGGATCTGCGATGGAATGAAGGTCAGTGACGGGCTCGCAGCGGCGGCAGCGCGAGCGGAAGGGTACGCACAAGGGGGGTGAGGTGGGTAGAGGGAAGCCGGAGAGCTGCAGCGAGCGGCGCTGCTGGCGCTGCAGCAGCCGGCCGGGCGGCGGGCGGGGGCGGCGGCGGGGCAGTGAAGCGGCGGGCCGCAGCCGCAGCTCGCGTGTGCGACTGCCCTGCGCGCCGCCGTCTGTCTTCGCCTTTTCTCAAGACGAGCGCCGTTCCCACGCTGCTGGTCTTCGGTCACGTGATCAGCCCGCGTCCAACGAGCCTCACGCCTCCCACATCTGCCATCCTTTCGTCGTCCGTTCTTCCTGCAGCAGCACGTCTGATTCTAGATGGCTGGCTGGGCGTGCGTGTGTCAGATAGCGGTGCATGCTGCTGTAAGTCGCACATGTGTGAGGCAGCGGTGCGCAGGCATGCGAAAGTGATGAGGGGCGCCAACCTTGCCTCGGCCGCCGACGCGCCGCTAAGGCTCGGTCACCGTCAGACTGCACATGGTGGCCTCGGAGGCCGTACTGAGGACCCCTGAGGACCCGACAGACGTTGAGCTCGAGGCAAAAGCTCGAGATGGTCCAATACTCTGCTGCGGGAGGCTTGGGGCCCCCGGTAGCGGCAGCCGCGAAGGAGCCAGCCAGGCATCCAGCGTCGGAGCATTCCGCGAGGGCGGCCTGGCAGCGCTGCAGCGGATGAGCATGCATCCAGCGTGCAGATGCAGCGTGCCCAGAACGCAGCAGAGGGCCCATCAAGAAGTTGAGCTTCCGCCCAGCGCAGGGGTACGTCTGGAGGCACCCGGCGGGAAACCTGTGAGCAGCAGAGCGTCGGAGGCCGACGCAGCGCAGCAGCGTGGCGCATCAGAAAAGCTCGCGCGCCGCTCCGAGCCGGACCGGGAGCAGGGCAGAGGCGCGGGGCCTGAACCGCCTGGCTCAGAGATCTCAGGTGAGAGTCATGCGAGCACGCACAGTCTGGGCGGATGCCGTGCTGGGCACATTGGGCTGCAGACGGCAGCAGGACAAGCCCGCAGCGCAGAGGTTTGCCGAGCTTGGCCTGCGTCGGAAGATTGCAGCAGCTGGGCGTGGCGCGCGTGGCGGGTGGGAACGCGCGCGTTGCGCGGCACGCTCGCCGAGCTGAGGGTTCAAAAGTGGCCGGGCAAGTGGCGCCTCTGATGGGAGCGGCACTTCTCACGCGCCATCCTTCCCTTCCACCACACCCACGATGGCCACCTCTGCTCTGCCCGCCCGCAGCGGCACACCCTCCTCGCTCGAGGAGGGCAGCGTGGGCAAGAAGCACGCCGCCGGCGCCGAGGCGCAGCCGCAGCAGTCCAGCTCGCTGCGCCGCCGCGTCCAGCGCATCGCGCAGGGCCTGTGCGAGCAGACGGGCATCGAGCCGCTGCCCGTCGAGGCACGCACCAGCACAAACGTCGGCAACGTCGGCTTCCTCTGGGCCAGCGCCAACATGAACGGTGCGTTGGGCCGACGTGTGCCAGCCAGACGCTGGGCCCGCTCACACGCTCCCCGCAGTGCTCTCCTTCTCCTCGGGCACGCTGGCGCCGCTGCTCGGCCTCGGCCTCGTGCCGTCGCTCGTCGTCATCCCCATCTTCGCCGCCTTCTGCTGCCTCTTCCCGGCGCTCATCAGCGTGTGGGGCCCGCGCACGGGCATGCGCCAGCTGGTGCTCTGCCGCTACTCGTGGGGCTACTACCCCGTGGCCGTCATTGTGGTGCTCGGCACCGCCGGCCAGATCGGCTACTGCATCCTCAACGTGAGTGGCTCTCCTGCGCTGCAGCTCTGAGCTGCGTTGCTCATGCTTGCACTGCAGAGCATCCTTGCTGGCCAGACCCTCGCGGCCGCGTCCGTCGGCGGCAACCTCAGCATCACCGTCGGCATCGTCGTCAGCGTCATCATCTCGCTCGTGCTCTCCTTCAGCGGCATCCGCGTGCTGCACTTCTTCGAGCGCTACTCCTGGCTCGTCGTGCTGCCCGTCTTCGTCGCGCTCACCGCCGTCGCCGGCAGCGGGCCCGACGGCCTGCACATTCCCGCCGAGGAGCCGGCGCTGGCGCCGCGCCCCGTGCTCAGCATGGGCTCGCTGCTCGCCGGCTACCTCATCAGCTGGAGCATCATGAGCACCGACTACTCGCTCTACCTCGAGCCGCGCACCAGCCCCGTCAAGCTCTTCACCTACGTCTGGTCGGGCTTCTTCTTCAGCACGAGTGAGTGTGGCTCTCGCGGCGCGTTGCGCCTTCTGTGCATGTGCTGACTTTGTCCCTCAGCGCCGCTGTTCATGCTCGGCGCTGCGTTTGCCTGCTCGGCCGCTGATGTTCCGGCCTGGTCGGCTGCGCTGGAGATCAGCAACGGCGAGCTCTTCCTCGAGGTCTTCGGTCGCGGTGCCGGCGCTCGCTTCGCCAACGTCATCCTGGCGCTCTCTGTCATCGGCAACGTGGCGCCGACGTTCTACTCGTTCGGTCTCTCGATCATGACGCTGCCCATCCCGCGCCTGCACGCCGTGCCGCGCTTCCTCTTCCCCCTGCTCGCCACCGCCATCACCATGCCGCTGGCCATCGTCGGTGCCTCGCGCTTCGCCACGACGCTCAGCAACTTCCTCGCCGTGCTCGGCTACTGGAGCGTGCTGTACGTCGCCGTCCTCATCGTCGAGCACTATGTCATCCGCCGCGGCGACTACGACTCGTACAATGCCGAGGCGTGGGCTTCGCCTAGGCTCCTCCCGACGGGCCTGGCCGCGCTGGCCGCCGGTATCCTCAGCCTGGGCCTGCAGATTCCCTTCTACGACCAGACGCTCTTCACTGGCCCGCTCGCGGAGCGCAGCGGCGATCTCGGCTTCGAGGTGGTGCGTCTGCCTTTGTTCCCTGGCTCGCTTCACCTTACTGACCTCTGCTCCATCAGGGCCTCGTCCTCTGCGCCATCCTCTACGTGCCGCTGCGCATCCTCGACAAGCGCATCTTCGGCCGCTAAGCGTCCCGCATGCGCCCATCTGCTCTCATCTCCTGGCAACCGATGCTCTCCTCGCCGTCTTGCACAAGTCTACATCCGCCGGGCCGACACCTGCGTGTCTCGGCCTCGCGCTAAAGTATCTCAGCTCCGTGTAACTAAAAGGCTTCTCACCTGTCACTGTCTCCCACATCTCCCACGCGCATCAACTGCTAGACCTCACTCCCACCCTGGCCCACCTTCGTCACCGTCGCTCAACGCAATACCTTTATCTGCTTCATGCCTTTCGCCTGGCTGCCGCGTGATCAGTCTGTCACGGCTCACGGACCTGCGATGCGAAGCTGCTTGGTGTGAGCAGCAGCTCTGAGCGCCGAGGGCACTGCGAGCCTCTGACGGAACACGCAGCTGCCGTCGCGCAGCACTCGGGTCTGGTGATGTGTGTGGGAATTGAATGACCGCGACCGAGGACCCAGAGAGGCCGAGAGGATGGAAAGGGGAGACCTGGAGGAACGAATGAAAGGATAAGAGGCGCGCTGTACGCGCGCGCATGTGATGTAGAGGTGTGTGCTTGATGAGAATTGAGAATGACGACGACGTGTGCCGGACCCGAGAGAAGATGAGAGAGAGAGAAGAGACGCCGGTCCGATTGAAGGCGGACCCGAGAGCGTCGAGAGAGTATTAGACATCGACCTGCGGAGACGTGGAAGCGTGAGCCGCAGCGGGGTGACGAGAGGTGCGTGAGACATACATAGATCAGCAGCGGCTCGCCGACGCCCTTAATCTCGGGTATAGTGCACTTCAGGTCGAATGCCTGGGGAGGGCAGTGTCAGCAGCAGTCGCGAGCGTGGCAGTGAGAGAGACTCGCCTTGGAGAGAATGATCTGTAGGCGGTAACGATGCGGGCACGAGGTCAGCTGGTGCAGAGCGACATGACCGAGCAAGAGCCGGGCTGACCTTGAAGATCTGCAGGCAAAGAACGAGACGGAAAATGCGTCAGTGGAGGGCCAGGGTGTTGCGGCCATCGCACGCACCTTCTGCACATTAATGCTGGCCGACGTCGACGAGAAGATGAGCGGCGCCTTCATGGCTCGTGCGAAGCGGCGTGCCTGTGCCCAGCGTGGCATATCAACATCAGCGTCGCTCGAGGGGCTTCGGACGTGCAGCAGTGCGCACCTGCTTCGTGATCTCCTCCTGCTCCTCCTTGGGGAATGTCGCGAAGGCGTCGTACTTCGTGCCAACGAGGAAAGGGATGGCCGTCTGCGACAGCGAGTGAGCAAAGACTACACGATTAGGCGCGCCATGCACACCTTGTTGAAGCCTCTGTAGATGACCAACGTCAGCGCGGCACTCGAAGCGAGAGAAGCAGAGGGCACGCACCGAGCCTGCCGGTACCACTCCTTGACGCTGTTGAGCGTCGACTTGCGGGAGAGGTCAAACATGAAGAGAATGGCCACTGCATCATTCGAGACGAGCGGCAGCATGTTGACGAACTCGCGCTGTCCTGTAGGGTGAAGAGCAGAAATGAGCACCGCGTGCAAGGCAGCGCAGATGGGGCAGATGACGCACCGCCAAGGTCCCAGATGCTGAAGGTGATCTCGGTGTTGCGGATGCTGATCGTCTTCTCCATGAAGTTGACACCTGCGAGACAGTGAGGGAAGGTCAGGGGGGTGGAAAGGCGTGCGTGGCGAACGCTTGTGTGTAGGCGAAGACACAGAGCCGCTGGCCCAGGCAGCGTGGCTGTCTGCACAAGATGAGCCCGCCGTGCGCCTGCACGAGCGCACTGCAGACGCTCGAGGCTCTGTTTCCTCCTTCCCACGGCAACGTGGCTCACTTCTTGCCGGCACAGACCCTTGTACTCACCGAGCGTCTGGATGTAGTCCTCATTGAAGCTGCCCTCGACGTAGCGCACCATCAGGCTCGTCTTGCCGATCTGCGAGTCGCCCACCATGCCCACTTTGATGATCACGCTGTCGGTGCTCGAGGAGTCAACTCCACGCGCGGTCCCCACCCGGTGAGGTGGCGATACGGTACGCACCTGCTCTTCTCCACCTCGCCCATGCTGCCCACGCTGGCGCCGCTGTGCGTGCGCGAACGCGCCGTGTGCCCGCCCGGCGCTTCCTCCATGCTGAACGCCCAGAAGCGGAGAGAGAGCTGCTACTGACGCCTTGGTTCCAGCGGTGCCGTGCGGCGCTCTGAAGCACCTAGCTGGCCTGCTACCGGGTGCTGCGCAGACAGCTGCGCACGGGACGCAGGCAGCCCTCGGCGCGTCGAGTACACGCAGGCAGTTGCGCTCGGCTCGGCCTGGCGAGCTTGCAAGCCTAGAGCCCAGACGAGAGGCCGGCTAGGCGATAGCCGCGCTCAGCTTGCGCCGCTTCAGCGGCGATGCTCACTGCGTGGCTTCAAAGGCGAGCCTGGCGAGGCAACGGCTCGTGCGAGCGAGTCTGACGTGCGCGTGGTGTGCTTCGAGCTGCACTGCTCGCGACACGACGCGAGGCGTAGCGCAACGCTTCGAGGAGTTGCTGGCCAGACGAGAGAGGTCGTGAGACGGTGCAGCGTGAAGAGCGAGTGTGGGTGGATGTGGTGTGAGGTGAAGGCAGCCAGCTCAGCGTTGCGGCCCGAGCACCTCAACGAGGCGCAACCTGCACCTGCGCGGGCGCGCGGCACGCTAACCAAGGCTCGCGGCCGGTGCGGCAGGCAGCACAGGAGCAGAGGCCTCCTGAGAGCTCATGCGCACAGGCGGCGTGCCCGATGGCGCGCACCGGGGAAAAGCGCCGCTGCTGCTCCCACGCTGCACCAAGTCCAACACCTCGCGCGCCTGCTCCCCGCACGCCTGGGCACCTTCGAACCTGGACAAGGCGATTGCTGGACGGTACGGTGGATGGAAGATGGGTACAAAATCATCATATAGTGACAGAGTGTCTCTGTGCGCTCCCACGAATCTACTGAATTGCTCGTGTTCTCGAGGCGTGACGAGCCATCCGCAAGAGAGGCGCAGTTTCGCCAACGAGCGCAACCGCGTGCAGCTTGTTGACGAGCCAATGCTCGGGGCTCTATGCCTGTCACAGGGCGGCGAGGTAGCGAGACAGCTCCAGCACTCTTTATTGACAGCACTGAAGGCATTCTTGTATTCAACGAGGCTGCCTTGTGCTCGTGAAGCGAGCAAGGGACGGCGGTGCTGCTTGCGCCAGCACGTCGAGCGACGCGCACCAACAAGTGATGCACGCTCCGCCTCGCTGGCCCGCATGGCTCTGCTGCTCTGCAGCGTCGGCAACGAGCTCTTTCGCTGGCAGCGCTGCCACACTCAAGTCGTGTAGAGCGCTTTGATTACTTCATGCAAGAGGCTTGGCCCCGGGAGGATCCATGTTCGCCCGACCGCGGACGCCGAGGTGGGCTTCGCCTAGCGCCCCTCAAGCTCGCGGCGCGAACAAGACGGCCATCGTGCAGCGGAACGTCCACCCTCCTGCGACGAGCAGCCGGCAGCAGTGAATCTGATGGTCTGATGCTCAGCTCGCCCGCAGGTCCCTCGCACTCGCACTCCCACTCAGACTCCGAGCAGCGTCCTGTCAGACGAACAACGTCCTCTGAGTCCCGCAGCATATCGCTCGCTTTCCTCGACGGCGCAGAGCCACGCTGCTCGCTGTTTGGAGGAGACAAAGAGAGCAAGCGCAGCGCCATGACGACCACAGCGCTGCGGACAGCGCCTGCTCGAGAGAAATCGGTCACACAGAACGTCGGCGTCGCTGGCAGCGAGCGGCCGCTGCGATGCTGTGCGCTGTGCACAGAAGCACACGCGGCGCGCGTCTGGCGGTGCCGCGCACCAACACTCGCTGGACGCACAGGCCTCGCGCCCTCATCGCAGCACGAACGACGAGCACCAACGACGAGCACACAGACGCACACGCAGAAGACACAGTAACAGAATCATGATGCAGGCTGGGGGCTAGAAAGTACAGTGTGTGGAACACGAGAGCACGAGGCGGCAGCGGGGGGACCCGGGGAGAGAGTAGAGAGGCAAGTGTGGGTGGGCGTGGGTGATGAAGAGCGCAGGTGAAGAAGTGGCCGGGACGAAGAACGATGGGCGTCGAGGGTGGTGACGACGCGCTTAGTCCTGCGAGGCAGCGGCCTTCTTGCCCTTGCCGCTCTTGGCGGGCAGCAGCTCGCTCTGGATGTGCGGGAGCACACCGCCCTGCGAGATCGTGACGCCGCCGAGGAGCTTGTTGAGCTCCTCGTCGTTGCGGATGGCGAGCTGCAGGTGGCGCGGAATGATGCGGCTCTTCTTGTTGTCGCGCGCGGCGTTGCCGGCGAGCTCGAGGATCTCGGCCGCCAGGTACTCGAGCACGGCCGCGAGGTACACCGGGGCGCCGGCGCCGACACGCTGGGCGTAGTTGCCCTTGCGCAGGTGACGGTGGATGCGGCCGACGGGGAACTGCAGGCCGGCCTTGGCCGAGCGCGACTGGGCCTTGGAGTCGGACGCGCCGCTCTTGCCACCAGACTTGCCACCGGAACTGGTGGGAGGAGTGAGGGGTGAGCGGGGTGCGCTGCGATGGAGGAGGCGGACACGGCCAAGGCACGGGCGCGCACGAGCCAGCGCCGCTGCAGCGAGCGGGCGCGGCGATGCTGGCAGCGCCGGTGCTGGAGACTGAGGCGAGGCGAAGCGAGGCGAGGCTGTACTCACGACATGTTGTTAGGTTGGAAGGGGGGTGAGGTGGGGTGGGTGTTGAGGTTGAAGGTGCGGTGCGAAGATGCAGATGGTGGAGGCAGGGCGAGGTGCGGGCTCAGCGCGCACAGCCGCCGCCTTTTGACGGCCGCGGCGCCAGCGGGGGCGCGTCGCGTCTGGCCGGCGGCGCGGGCGTGCGAGCGGGCAGCGGGCAGGCGCACCGCAACGGCGCTGGGGCGCAGCGGCCGCAGCGCCGCACACGCACACGGCGACGAGGCCTGCTGCGCCGCACCGTGCCGTCAGGCCACCGCGCGGCGCCGCATGCCGTGCGAGGGCCACGGGCTGAGGTGTGCGAGTAAGGGGCGGCGCGGCATTTCGCAGCGCGCCGACGCGCGGCCACGGCGGCGGCCACGTCATTAAAGGCTGACGTGGCCCTCGCGCGAGCCCGCATTTGCGAGACGTGCGCCGCGAGTCCACGCCCGGCACGCAGCGAGCCTCGTCAGCGCGCAGACGTGGCCGGCGCACCAGCAGCAGCACGCCAGGTAGCAAAGCGCAGCGCCGTGGCCCGGCGGCCTCGTGCATGCGAATGGCGGGCGGCGCCGTCGAGGGCCGCCGTGCCGTGCGCCAGATGCACACACGGCGGCGGCGCAGCGCTGCGCCAGGCCACGGCGCACGCGTCGCGTAGCGCAGCGGCCGGCGGCGCTGCCCTTCCGCCGCGCGCGCATCGCTCAAATAGAGCGGCGCGCACGAGCCGAGCTGCTGTGGCCCCCTCCTCTACCACATCGCATCGCCGCTCCTCGCCTCAACACCCTCACCACCCCTACCCCCCACCAACCCACCCCACACTTCACGTGAGTGGCAGCATCGTCTGCACGGCCCGCGCATCTGCTGACCCTCGCCCGACAGCATGGCCCCCAAGCCCGCTTCCACCGCCGGCAAGGCTCCCTCGTCGCAGGCCGGCAAGGCGCCCGCCAAGGCCCCCGAGGCGGCCAAGAAGACGAGCAAGGCTGCCAAGCCCGCCGGCGACAAGAAGAAGCGCAACAAGGTCCGCAAGGAGACGTACAGCACCTACATCTACCGCGTCCTCAAGCAGGTCCACCCCGACACGGGCATCAGCAACAAGGCCATGGCCAGTGAGTGCTGCGAGAGGAGCGACAGGGCGGAGCACGGGGAAGGCGGTGGAATGGATGGGGCTCGCATCTGCGGCACAGCGTCTGACACGCTGCCCCCTCTCCAGTCCTCAACTCGTTCGTGCAGGACATCTTTGAGCGCATCGCTGCCGAGGCCTCGAAGCTCGCGTCGTACAACAAGAAGTCGACGATCTCGTCGCGCGAGATCCAGACTGCCGTGCGCCTCATCCTCCCCGGCGAGCTGAGCAAGCACGCCATCTCCGAGGGCACCAAGTCGGTGACGAAGTTCAGCAGCAGCAAGTAAAGCGTCTGGCGCCACCCATGTGCCCCCGCTTCTCGCTCTGCCTCTACTCTTCACGCACTTGCTACTCTAGCCTCACCCACACCCCGGTTCTCGCGTCGCTCGCGCATCCATGCGAGCGTCACACTGTCTTCCACCCACACGCGTTCTCTGCTCAGCTGCTGTCCCACGACTCTGTACAACACTTGCCCGCATTCCATCCCTTTACCGCGCCTGCTGCCCGAGTGTGTGACGCGTGAGCTGCCGGTGGTGCAGGGGTGGCACGCGAGACGCGTCGTGGTGGAGGAGTCAGGGCGGCCTGGACGTCGCGGACAGCCTCTGATGCGCTGCAGCATGGGCGCATGCTTCACACGCCGGCGCCAGGCCAGGCAAGGGCCATCACTTGCCCTGGCAGCCTCAACCCGCCAAGACAGCACGCAGACTCCTTCAGCACACCTCACGCTCGCTGCAGAGAAAGCATGACGGCATTACACGCAGCCGAGAACAAGATGCGATGAGAGGTGGACGGATGAAGGGAAGCGCAGCATAGGCGAACAGATGGCATCATGGCGCCGGCTACCGCTGGACGGTCTTGTCGAGCAGGTCCTGCGAGCAGAGCGAGGGACGAGAGGTCAGCTGCTGTCGCGTCCGTCCTGGCGCCGGCTCGCAACGGGCGATCTCAGCTCGCCTCTCCACTCGATACTTCGCAATCGCGCGCGAGCCGGTCGTCGGGGAACGGTGCTGGACTGGCTCCGCCTGTGCACAGCTGCACAGTGCTTCCCAGGTTTCGTCTCTCCACCTTCCCTGACGTGCGAGTGGCCAAGCCGCACCGATGCGGTCCTCGTACCGTGCACCTCGCGAGCCATGATCTCCGACCCTCGCTGCATCCGTCTCGGTAGCTCAGCACACGGAACTCACCTTGGCCTCATTGATCTTGCTCGCCAGGTACGGCGCGCCTCCGCGGTCCGGGTGGTTGGCAATCATCATGCGCCGGTGTGCGTCCTTGACGCGCGTCTTGGTCAGCGCCGTTTCTCTGCGAGCGAGAGAGAAGGACGTCATGTAAGCGCACAAGGAGAGAAGCGAGCGAGACGCCAGCAGCGGCCACTTGAGATGCTGCGAGACGGACAGCAGCGCACGACGCTCGCACGAAGGCAAGTGAGTGGCTGTGCTGCAAGCGAACACAGGATGAACGTATTCCCCGGGCGCTAGGTAACCCCACGCCTGGCCAGCGCCCGTTGTTGCCTCGCGGCAGCAGGTCCAAACTTGCGGCCAGCAGGGCATGGGAGCCGCGCCTGTCCGTGCCAGGGCCAGCAGAGCACTGAAAGCCTGTCGCCTTGTGCAATTCGCGCCAGGATGCCCCAGAGCTGCGTAGCTCCATGCTGGCGCTACGCCTTGCCATCGATGTCGAACAGCAGCTCGCATCCTCGTCCGACTGTAGCCGTGATCTCACGCCTCTACGGACACGACGCCCGCTCGTGCCGCGTCGCTCGTCTGCCGCGTGCTCACCTCAGGCCGAGAATCATGGCTGCCTCCTTCTTGTCCATCTTTCCCTGAAAGCCACCCTTTGCCCACTTGCCCGAGCCGGCGGCCTTGGGCCCGCTCTTCATCAGCGTCATGGCCAGCAGGCCGCCGCCGACGAGCGCGGCGCCGGCGAGGATGGGCGTGGCGATGGGCGCGGGCGCCGTGGCGCGCAGCAGCTGGGGCGCCGTGGGCCGCAGCGCCGCTTGTGGTCGCGGCAGGCTGCTCCGCATGGGAGCGGAGAGCGTGGCGCGCAGACGAGGAGCGAGAGTGGGCCGCATGGTGCCGAGGGATGTGGAGCTGAGTCTGGCGAGGTCAGGCAGCGGCACCGAGAGCTGACGAGGCCGCGCACGGCATCGAGGGCACGGCACGTGACGCGCATTTTTGGCGCGAGGCGGCCCTTGCGCCGCCGCGGCTGCGAGAAGACGACCCGCTTCTGCCTCTGTTCCTCCACCCCACGCCCGCCGCCGGTTCCGCCACTCTGCAACAGCTCTCACCCAGACAGCCACGCATCCTACTCTGTCGCCTCCGCCACCATGCTGCGTCGTCTCTCGCGCGAGCGCCGCGAGTACATCTACCGCAAGTCGCAGGAGAGCAAGGAGCATGAGATCTTCGAGCGCAAGCAGAAGATCCGCCAGCTGCTTGCCGAGGGCAAGCCTGTGCCGCGCAACCTCACCGAGGGCCTGGAGCAGGAGGGGCGCAGCAACTTCGGCGGCATGGGCGGCGCGGCGGCACTGAGGGTCGACGAGGGGCAGACCGGTGAGTGCCGCGGGCCACGAGAGGACCCGGGTGGGACGCAAATGGGCTGCAGGGCGTAGTGGCGGAGGACGTGCAGCAGGAGCGTGAGATGCAGCGAGGCCAGATTGAGGGAGGAAGGGTAGGACCAGCTCGCAGTCGGCCGCCTTGCCCCCCTTGCAGGCTATTCGGTGCGACGAACGTTGCGCGAAGCTGCGGCTGTTCAGCCAGCCTTGGGCAGGCTGGCAGAGCTGCGGAACCGCGCGCTGGCGCTTCCGTGCGGAGCAAGGCTTGCTGTTCTGCCCCGCCGCTCGGAGTCGATGCACGCCCAAGCATCGATTCTGCCGCCGCAAACTGGAGGGTGCCCTGGCCCGAGTGTAGCCGCTACGTCGCTCGGAGCTCCGGGCCCGACTTGCCTTCTGACACGTCGTCCATTCCAGAGCCGGGCAGCTCGATCGACTCCGAGTACGCACGGGCGGGTCAATACGACCCCAAAGTGCTCATCACTACATCTCGCGATCCTTCTTCTCGCCTCACGCAGTTCGCCAAGGAGCTGCGGCTCTGCATTCCCAACTCGACGCGCATCAATCGCGGCGGCTACACGGTCAACGAGCTCGGCGCCGCATGTCGCAGCAACGGCATGACGGACCTGCTTGTCGTGCACGAGCATCGCGGTGTGCCTGATGCGCTCGTGCTCTCGCACTTCCCGCACGGTCCTACACTGCTCTTCACGCTCAACAACGTAGTGCTGCGGCACGAGGTCAGCGCACATGCACAGAGCACCGTCAGCGAGCAATATCCGCATCTCATCTTCGAGGGCTTCAACTCGAAGCTGGGCACGCGCGTGGGCGATGCGCTCAAGTACTTGTTCCCCGTGCCGAAGGAGGACAGCAAGCGCGTCATGACGTTCTCCAACGAGCGTGACTTCATCTCCTTCCGGTGCGTCTCCCTTGCACAGCGCTCCACGCCCGCCTTGCTCTTCCGCTGACCCCCCAAGGTGTCGCCAGGCATCACGTCTTTCTCAAGACGTCGCATCGCGAGGTGCAGCTGGCGGAGGTGGGGCCGCGCTTTGAGATGCGGCCATACGAGATCCGACAGGGCACGCTGGAGCAGAGCGAGGCCGATGTCGAGTGGGTGCTGCGGCCGTTCATGAAGTGCGTATGCCGTGTGTCTCGATGTGCGAGGGGCCAGCTGACCTCGTCCGCCTCGTGCAGCTCCGGACGCAAGAAGAACCAGCTGTAGTTGCTCCCTATGACGGCGGGCAGCCGATGTGTCCAGTGCTCCATGCTTCATCTGTAATTCTACTGCATATCATTCCCGACGCTCGACTCTCGTGCACGCAAGAGCGCGCGTCCAGTGGCGGCCTGCGCTCGGCAGCATCCGTGCCGCACGCGCTGTCGTCTGTGAAGCTCGGACTGAACATAGGCTCCTCGCTTCGGCTGCTGTTCAGCTGATAGGCCGCAAGAACCGGTAGACGATTGCTGTCACGCTCGAGCGATGCTCAGCCTGCTGAAGCGCTGCTGCGCTCTGTGGCTCTGCGCCGGCAGTGCGAGACGCCCGTCGCAAGAGAACCCTTGCCGTGGCAGCCGTCCATCGGCCCAGCTAGGCGGTAGAAAGGCAGAGGTACGGCTCGAAATCCTCTCAGCAGGGTCGCGATGTGGTGCGGGGCGGAAATGTCTTTGGCCAGGCGCAGACTTGCGACGTGGCAGCTCGGGGCGAGGGCGGAAGGGCCCCTCTCATCGTCAGAGGGGCACGCCCACGCCCCAACAAGCAGCTTGCGCTGCCGGCACCGAAGCAGGCGAGTGCAGGACATCTCAAAGCTGGCCTGCATGCGCTCTCAGCTGTCATGGCAAGCAGTCGGTGTTAGACAGTATGTCCATCGATGCATCAAAGCGACCCTCCAAGGCGGACTATTCGCCAGGGGGGAGGCGAGGGAGAGTCGCGCGAGCGTGGGAGCAGCACGTCGACTCCCGAGTGCCGGCGCCGCGCCCCTTCCGCCGAGTCGGAGCGGACGCGGTTTTTTGGGGCCCGGCACCACGAAGGCACGCCGCCACGGCATGCTGCGCCAGCACGCTGCTGCTTGCACCCTTGGCGGTCCTTGAACCACACGGCTCGGCGCACCGCCCCTCCGGATGCAGGCGCAGGACACCAGCCTGCGCCGAGCCACCGCAGCCGGCGACATTCGAGGCGGCGGCGGGCCTTGCCTGCTCCGGTGCTCCCCTTGGATGGGAAGCGCCGTCGGCGTGCTCGGCCGGGCGCACGGTCTCGGCGCCACGTCAGAAAAGTTGGGCAGCTGAGCCGAGGTGCTCCTGTCAGACAGGCGAGGGCCATCGCCTGCCATCGGCTTTCTCGAGGCCGTCGCCATGCCCTCGACGCCGGATCAGCGAGCGGTGCAAGGCCGCCGCGTCGATGCAGATCTTCTCGCTGCCGCTGCGGATGCTGGGGCGCGCTGCCGGGCCCACGCGACTCGGCGCCTGCTGCACGCGCGAGATGATCAGCCGCGGCATTGGGCGCGGGCTCCTGAGCAGTGTCGCGCCGAATGCACCCGCTGCGCCAAAGTTTGGCAGGAGGGCGCGCGCGCAGAGGACCGTGCGGCGCCGAGATGAAGATCCAACAGCGCGCGCGCGCGTGTGAAGCGGCTGCCTCGCTCGTGCGAGCAGCCGGCGCCCTCGCATGCGCTGCAGCGCCGAGTGTGGCCCGCTCGGTGCACGGCCGTGGATTCGTGCATCCCGGTGCGGGTCGAACGACGTCTGACGCTCGAGCGACGGCGGCGCGGTGGCCCGCCGAGCGGCGCAGAAGGAGGCACAGTTCGCGCGGCGGCGCGCCCCAGCAGTTCGGAGCGCGGCGCGCACGCAGAGGAGGGCGGCGCAGCGGCGGCGCAAGGCACGCACGCAGCGGACGCACCAGCCACACCCGCGACGCACCCGCCGGCTCGCTGCGCAGGGGCCCGGCAGCGCGAGAGGCACGCCAGCGGCGGGAAGAAGCGAAGCCAGCGGCGTCGCGTGGTGCGGTGCGGCGCGGTGCTCCTTCGCAGCGTGCCTGCCAGGTGCAGCATGGAAGCTCGCTCCTCGCTCGCCTCGCCTGGCCTCGCCCGCCGTGCCTCGGCTCGCCTCGCCTCAAAGCGCTGCTGTCCGCCGCGCTGCCTCTTGCCTCACAACCAACACCCCGTGTCCACCACACCCACCACCACCCCACACACACCCTGCCCCTGGTCCCTCTGCTCTCTGCGTCTCTCTCTCTCTGCCCAGTCACCGTGCCTGCGTCCCGTCACACATCCTCTCCACCTCTCGCACGCACGCGTAGCCCGCGTCCCGTGCGCACGTCCCGTTCCCGTTCCCTCATAGACTAGAACCCGCAGCCATGTCGTCCAAGGGTGAGTCGCCTGTGCCCTTGCGGCGCCGTGCTGTGCCGCGCGAGCTCGCTGCAGCGCCGCGTGCACAGCGGCAGTGCTGGCCCAGTGGAGGCACGCAGCAGCTCACACCTCCTCGCGCTGCTCTCAGCTATCCGCGAGTTCGATGCCAAGCTGCTCGTCAACTACTGGCTGCCGCGCTCGCCGGCGGTGCACCCGTCGATGGAGATGAGCAGCTCCTTCGCCGCGCCGGCACCCAAGGTCGCCCAGGTCTCCTGGGACGCCGCCAGCAACACCATCACCGCCGAGTCGAGCATGCCCAGCTGGGTGCACAACACCAAGCTCGTCGCCAAGCCCGACCAGCTCATCAAGCGCCGCGGCAAGGCCGGCCTGCTGAAGCTCAACTGCGACTGGGCCGATGCGCAGGAGTGGATCCAGGCGCGCGCCGGCAAGCCGCAAAAGGTGAGCTGCGCTGCGCCGAGAGCACGCGCGCAGATGGCTGACGCACTCTTGTCCAGGTCGAGGCTGTGACGGGCACGCTCAACAACTTCATCGTTGAGCCCTTCTTCCCGCACCCGGCCGACACCGAGTTCTACGTGTGCATCAACTCGGCGCGCGAGGGCGACTACATCCTGTTCACGCACGAGGGCGGTGTCGACGTCGGCGACGTGGACGCCAAGGCGCTCAAGCTGCTCATCCCCGCCGACCCCGAGGCGCCGTTCCCGCCGCGCAAGGAGTGGACGTCGACGCTGCTCGGCGGCGTCAAGGATGAGGCGAAGAAGGAGCGCCTGACCGAGTTCCTCGTGCGCCTGTACAGCGTGTACGTCGACCTGCACTTTGCCTACCTCGAGATCAACCCGCTCGTCTGCACCGACGACGGCACGATCACCTACCTCGACATGGCCGCCAAGCTCGACCAGACGGCCGACTTCATCTGCGGCCCCAAGTGGGCCATCGCGCGCGACCCGAGCGTGTTCAGCGACAAGGCCGTCGCCGGCAGCGCCAAGGGCGAGGACCGCGGCCCGCCGATGGTCTGGCCCGCGCCGTTCGGCCGCGACCTGACCAAGGAGGAGGCCTACATTGCCAAGCTCGACGCCGGCACTGGCGCCTCGCTCAAGCTCACCGTGCTCAACGCCACGGGCCGCATCTGGACGATGGTGGCCGGCGGCGGTGCCTCGGTGGTGTACTCGTGAGTAGTGCAAGCGCGCGTGTGTCCTTGGTCCTGAGCTCACACGCCTTGTACAGCGACGCCATTGCTGCGCACGGCTTCGCCCACGAGCTCGCCAACTACGGCGAGTACTCGGGCGCCCCGACGGAGGGCCAGACGTACGAGTACGCCAAGACGCTGCTCGACCTGATGACGCGCGGCGACGTCAACAAGGAGGGCAAGCTGCTCATCATCGGCGGCGGCATTGCCAACTTCACCAACGTCGCCTCGACGTTCAAGGGCATCATCCGCGCGCTCAAGGAGTACAAGCAGGCGCTGGCCACGCACGGCGTGCGCATCTTTGTGCGCCGCGGCGGCCCCAACTACCAGGAGGGCCTGCGCGCCATGCGCTTCCTCGGCGAGGACCTGGGCGTCGAGATCCAGGTGTTCGGCCCCGAGACGCACATCACCGACATTGTGCCGCTCGCGCTCGGCATCAAGAGCAAGAAGGACATTGAGGTCGCGCAGGCCTCGGCCGCGCCCTCGGGCGCCGCCACGCCGGCGCGCGGCGCACAGGCCAACGGCGCCGAGCCGTCGAAGCCCGTCGGCTCCGTCGACCCCGTGACCGGCGCACGCACGCAGCCGCAGGACCAGATCGTGCAGTTCGACCCCGTCACGGGCAAGGGCTCGCGCCCCGAGCACCTGCCGTTCGACGAGCACACGCGCTCGCTCGTGTACGGCCTGCAGCCGCGTGCCATCCAGGGCATGCTCGACTTTGACTTCTCGTGCGGCCGCAAGACGCCCTCGGTCGCCGCCATGATCTACCCCTTCGGCGGCCACCACATCCAGAAGTTCTACTGGGGCACCAAGGAGGTGCTGCTGCCCGTCTACACGAGCGTCGCCGAGGCCGTCAAGAAGCACCCCGACGCGGACGTCGTCGTCAACTTTGCCTCGTCGCGCTCCGTGTACCAGTCGTCGCTCGAGATTCTGCAGCTGCCGCAGATCCGCGCGCTGGCCCTCATCGCCGAGGGTGTGCCGGAGCGCCACGCGCGCGAGATCCTGCACCGCGCCAAGAAGGCCGGCGTGCTCGTCATCGGCCCGGCGACCGTCGGCGGCATCAAGCCGGGCTGCTTCCGCATCGGCAACTCGGGCGGCATGATGGACAACATCATCTCCTCGAAGCTCTACCGCCCCGGAAGCGTCGGCTACGTGAGCAAGTCGGGCGGCATGTCCAACGAGCTCAACAACATCCTCAGCCTCGTGACCAACGGCACGTACGAGGGCATTGCCATCGGCGGCGACCGCTACCCCGCGACGACGTTCATCGACCACCTGCTGCGCTACGAGAAGGACCCCAACTGCAAGATGCTCGTCCTCCTCGGCGAGGTCGGCGGCGTGGAGGAGTACCGCGTCATCGACGCCGTCAAGCAGGGCATCATCAAGAAGCCCGTCGTGGCGTGGGCGATTGGCACGTGCGCCAAGATGTTCACGACCGAGGTGCAGTTCGGCCACGCCGGCTCGATGGCCAACTCGGACCTCGAGACGGCCTCGGCGAAGAACGCGGCCATGAAGGAGGCTGGCTTCATCGTGCCCGACACGTTCGAGGACCTGCCCGTCGTGCTGCGCCAGACGTACGAGAAGCTCGTGTCCAACGGCACGATCAACGTGCGCCCCGAGGTGCCGCCGCCGGCGATCCCGATCGACTACAAGTGGGCGCAGGAGCTCGGCATGGTGCGCAAGCCTGCCGCCTTCATCTCGACGATCTCCGACGAGCGCGGCGCCGAGCTCATGTACTCGGGCGTCAAGATCAGCGAGGTCTTCGAGTCCGAGATGGGCATTGGCGGCGTCATTTCGCTGCTGTGGTTCAAGCGCCGCCTGCCGGCGCACTGCACCAAGTTCATCGAGATGGCCCTCATGCTCACCGCCGATCACGGCCCGGCCGTGTCGGGCGCGATGAACACCATCATCACGTCGCGCGCCGGCAAGGACCTCGTCTCGTCGCTCGTCTCGGGCCTGCTCACCATCGGCGACCGCTTCGGCGGCGCGCTCGACGACGCGGCCAAGGAGTTCAGCGGCGCCTACGACTCGGGCCTGACGCCGCGCGAGTTCGTCGACAAGATGCGCAAGGCGCAGCGCCTCATTCCGGGCATTGGCCACAAGATCAAGTCGACGTCGAACCCCGACTACCGTGTCGAGGTGGTCAAGGAGTTTGTCAAGAAGCACTTCCCCTCGTCGCGCATGCTCGACTACGCCCTCGCCGTCGAGCGCGTCACGACGGCCAAGAAGGACACGCTCATCCTCAACGTCGACGGCTGCCTGGCCGTGTGCTTCGTCGACCTGCTGCGCGACTCGGGCGCCTTCACCGACGAGGAGGCCAACGAGCAGCTCAACATTGGCTTCCTCAACGGAGTCTTTGTGCTCGGCCGCAGCATCGGCTTCATCGGCCACCACCTCGACCAGAAGCGCCTGCGCGCCCCGCTCTACCGCCACCCCGCAGACGACTTCATGATCTCGATGCAGACGCCCGAGCGCATCGTCGGCAACCTCAAGAAGTAAGCGCGCCTGCGCCTTTGCTGCCGGCCTGCCCTGCCCGTGCGCTGCGTGCGCCTAGAGACCTCGTCATCCATCCTGCTCCCGTCTTTGGCGCTCTGCGCCACCCCCTGTCCTTGACTGCCGTGTACATGTTCCCGTCCCACACCCCTCGGTGCGCGCCCCCCCCCCACGAGCCTCAGTGCCAGGGCCGCTGCAGTAACGATCACCTTTTGCTCCATCCTGCGTGTGTTGAAGGAGGTGGAGACGGGACGAGCTCTGCTGTTGCTGCTGCGCTCGGTCTGACGCAAGGTCGTTGTGATACGTGATTCATCGATCGAGCACCTGCGGGCTTCGCTGCTCGTTCTTCCC